TGAAGGTATGCAAGTTATTTGTAGTCTGTTCTTGTACTTCTAGATCTTTAACAAATGTCAGGAATAGGTGAATAACTTACATAGTTAACTTTCATGTTATCTGTAATTCTCGACCAATTTCGGCACATCCTAACCTGACAGAAGAAGAAAGGTCAAGTGTATGCAAAGCTATAGAATATCATAAACTATCACAAGAAGCGTGTCAACACATGATGAAAAATGACCGGTTGCCATTGAAATTGAGAACGCAACTTATCCTTCTTGAACAAGTGAACATGACAAGGTCAATGACAGCTGCAGGATCAAATTACCAGCGAACAAAGACTCCGGCCATTATTTGAGTAAGTAAAGGGTTACAGAAAGGATGTTCTTTAACATCCCAGAAGGAGAAATGATGAAAAAAGAGGTTGACTATGAAAATGAAACTCAATCAATTGCACAGGTGAAAGCTGCAGCTTCAGAATCAAGCAAAGAGATGTCGTTGGTCAGAAGATAAACAATTTTTTGTTTACCATCAGAACTATAGCCATTTATGTCAATCATATCATGTTGAATTCCTGTTAAAGCAGTTTGCTATTAGAAAGAAAATCCAAGTGATAATCCTCGATTTTATTGCGAAAAAACATTTAGTTTTAGTCCATCGCTGCAGTTACAGTTAAAGTTATAACCGATCCAGTTATCAGAATGGAGATCAAATAAAGATGACAATCCTCAATCTGATTCTACTTAGCATAATTTTTGAAGCTCTGGAATCAGGAAACTGACATTAACACAATCTATGCAACTGGCCTAACCTATAACACCTCAATAAATTTTAAGAGGGATGAGCACTGAAGTAACAAAGTGTCAGAAACATCTGGTTTTATCAATCTTTAAAGATTTCCCTAATTCTCTTGACAGGTTAGATCCAAGAAAAAATTACCAAAATTTCATTTTCATTTAGGTAACAGCTATGAGCTAACCATAACTTTGTTGTCATGTATATAATAATAAATATCATTGTTGGATTAGTGCAAACTATACATGTACTTATGGTAATCACAGAACAGTTAATTTGCATAGAAGGCAAAACATTAAAAAAGGAAATTTCCAGTAAAGGAAATGGTGAGGAGATTTCACATATTAAACCAGGTTTTGCATAAGTACATATCATAAACTTATTCTCTTTACATAATGCAAAAACCATTGAGAAATGAAGATATGATCGAAAAAGGAACCGGGTTATATCACAGTGTGAGAGAAGCTACCAAATTATGGCTATTCAGGTTGAAGCTTATAACAGATATATTCGTTGGGATAGCCTAAGATTTCACCTTCACAGGAATTGAAGATCACATTTTAAGAAAACTTGTGAAGCTAGCCGCAAGGTTTTGGACGCATGGATTCCTATTGAAATACACATCATTGTACTGTTATTCAGGAAACTTACAGAGTAAAATTGGCGAAGAAAAAGTCCTTTTGGTTTGAGCCATTGCCTGGTGTGAAACAGAAAAAGAAAAATAATTTTTCTTTCTAGGCCAGGAATGAATATTATATCTTTGGAGCCATTCAAGCGCATTGTTAAGAGAGGAATCTTAGTGTGATAAGAGATTGGATTGTGCTGGTCTGGTAACAGAACTATCATCAAATTTGATTTCTCAGTTGTGTATTCACCAGGTTGGAACGCACAACATTAGCATTTGAGAGGTAAGTTGATTTATCGCAAACATGGCTTATGAGTTATGATTGCAACAAAAGCCATCTTTGTTGACTAGGCTACCGTGACGCACCTGGGTTGCTTGTTTTTTTATAGGAGGAAGATGTTGAAATTTTTGTGCATCACATAGTTGGTATGGTTGATTCATTTTTGAGGAGGTAATATTCAGTGTTGCTTGCATCTTAAATTTATGGAAATTGATTTGAAATTTCTATCAATTGAATCAAGCAAAACAAGAAGACTTTAAGGCTCTAGTCTCTGATGCGGCAAGAACAGATCGATTTGTGAACGAAATGGAACTTTTTCTTGCTTCTGGGTTGAACATTGAAGCCCATGATGCAGTCTACATGCAACGGTTGGGTTGGAACAGTCCCAGAGCAACTATCGAGCCCACGGAAAGGGAATCCAGTGGGCAAGCCCCTGTAATAGTCCCATACTTGTATGTCTTTGATGAGGATTCGGATGGAACTGATTGAATGTTTTCTCGCTATTGCTGAAGTTTGCATTGACTTCATTTTATGAGTTGGTACTTTGTTGCCAGTTCTTGATATTTGAAGTCAGAAGAGGATCCCTGCCTTGAATCAATTGAGCCAAGGTCCCATGGTTATCTGAGTTTTCCATTCAATAGCTTGTTATATAAAAATAAATATTATTGTTATATGATCCTATTTATATTTGTTTCTTACATAAAGATGGTATAGATAATAATAAAAAAGAAGATGTAATGAAGATAAGATCCAATATATAATCCTAATAACTGTACTCTCCATGCCAGTCGGTTACAACGGAAGAACTCCTCTATCTCTATCTCCTACTATATATCCCAGTATACCTAAGTCACTCCTCTCAGCTTATCACATTATGCTTTTATCTCTGAACCAATATCCCAGTTTTATTAAAAAAACCAAAACCCCAGTTTTCTTGGTGCACAGCGGCAAGATTTTCTTGGAGAATTGTTCGTAGTGGTTTTAGAGATCTTTGACCAACCAAAGTTACAATGGAAAAGCGATTTATTGTTCGTTATGATCAAACTCTGGACTCAAATTTCTACATGTGTCGTGGATGTCGTACCCACATTGCTTTGATTAATGATAGCATCTTGACAGTAAGTATATCTCTCTCTGATCTTCTTATTATGCATTTGCTTTATTGTTATTCAAATTTGTTTCTGATTTTAAAAGGGTAAAGCCTATTAAGAAGGTTGAAGTTCTGGGTTCTTGATTTTATCTGTCAAACAGTTTTTACTTTCTTGAAACTACTAAAATATTGACGTGCATATATTATTCTGCATATTCCACTATAGTGTTTGATGTGAAAATTGGTCATCTCTGAATGCTCTTTCTGTTCAGAATTTCTCAGTTATCATCTATATTTTTAACTTGAAGATAATTTATCAGCTCTTTCTGTACTTTGCAAAACATTCAGAAAAGAGTCTAAGAAAGTGTCTGCTGATTTATAAGAAAAGTATTCAACTGTACAGCAAGATATTGTTTCAGATGAATTCTGTAAAGCATTTAGGATATATTGTTTAATACATATAGCATCACTTACTCTTATCTTAACTATTTCAATGCATTTGGCAGCATAAACGGTTTGGGGCAGTTCTCCTAAAACATGCGTAAGACATTCATGAACTCCAAATTGATTACTATCATTGCTATCAGAGATAGTGACTTTGTAAGTTTTGCTCTATGGCAGTGACAACTTGGTGATTGAAAACCCAGAAGATTATGTCGACATTGTCTGTATCACAGTAGCATTTGTCTATTGTGGCGAATGCACCATGTACTTGGGCTGGAAATGTGTAAGATTTTGTCTGCAGTATTTAGCCACCTCTAAAATTTCTCTTTTACTCCATCAAATGAAATAATTTAGAATATTCTATATTCTTCAGGTTGACATAGTGGATGGTCCCAGTGATCTGTTCCAAGAAGGAAAAATTGCCCTCTATTTGTAGGTGTTTGACATAGTTCCAGTACAGTTTTTTTTTTTTTGGTTGTGAATTTAGTGAAACAATCTGAAACTGAAACGGAAACTGAATGTAGGCATAACCTGTTGTTCTGGAATGGAAAGGAAGTAGTAGAAGCAGACACAATGAAACCAGCTGAGAAAATGTTAGTTTCCAGGGAAATGATGGTTCACTGAAGGACTCAATGACAAGCATTTCAGCACAGAATACCATTTTTATTCTTCTGATATACATTTGACTCAGTACTCTCAATATGAGAACCCAGAAATTTTGTTCTTGTTATTACAAAACTATTTGAGACACTTGGGAAAATTTATCATTCAAGTGTCTAAAGTCCTATGCAAAAATAATTTCCTCTCATCATCATATAATTCAAACAACTTTTACTTATATTAATATATCATTTTGTTGAAAAATCTAAATTATATGACAAATTCAACTAACAGCAAGATGGGTTTAGCTAACTATCTCTGGTTGATCGTTTGGCTTGATAGAGACTTTTGAATGTATTAGTCAAGAGATTCTGAGTTCGAGTCCCTCCTCGGTTGCTAATAGGGGTATATACTAACGGTCGATAGTTTCAGGGTCTCAGAGGATTAGTTAACGTGCGTGTAAACTGGTTCAGACACTCTCGGTCAAAAAAAAAAAAAAAAAAAAAAACACTGATGGGCTTAGCTATAGATACTTCATTACCACGTTTGGTTGTCAAATAATATAAGATTTTGTTAATCTTCCAATACCAATAATATTATTGGTAATATAGGAGGTAATCTGATTACCTCTATTTTCTTATGTATTTTAAGATTATTTGGTAATCTTATTTTTGTTACAATTTTATCTCTTATTAATAAAATTTTAGGATAATAATACTCTTGTTTTAAAAAAAATTTACAAAAATACCAATAGATTTTTTTATTCTTATATACAAAGTTTTTAGAACATAAATACCCCTAGAATTTAAAAAATTATTCAAGGGTGGTGGCCAGATCCAATCATCGGCCACCACTGCATGCGGCGACAGAATGGCGAGCAACCAGCCATATTTGGTTAGTTGAAAACAGTCAAATCTAGCCTTTCATGGCCAGATCTCCACTGTCATTGCCGCCGATGGTGGTGGCAAGCTACCAACAGTGGCTTGGAATAGGTATGGATGTTTTTGTTAAGTTTTAAACATTTTTATTACTGTGGTGTTTTAACTAAATCTAAAATATATGGGGTTAAAAGAGATTTTTCAAAAAATGATAATATATTAATATTAAAAAAGAGAGACAATTTAATAATTTATATAATAAACAAATATTCCGATATATAATTTATCTTTCCATCAAAATCCGTTCACACTAATACAAGACCCTAAATCATAACAAGACTAGTCTTCTTCTCAGTTTTTCACATTCCACAACCAACACCACTCTCCACCAAGCTGAAATAAACCGAAGTTACATGTTGTTGGAATTAAAAGCGTAGTTTTAAGTACTTCAGTCACAACGTCTAAAGAAGATTTTGAATCCTAAAATGGCAAAAAGACTCAGCTCCAATCTTTTCGTTAGCCGTAACCTCTCTCTAAAACCCTTCTTATCTACTTAAGTAATTATGTGGGGGGGTTTTGATGATTGATTGATTTTATTTGTAGATTTGTCTTCTTATACAACCAAACAAGCACTGAAGGGATTGTTTTCGCGATTTGGCGTTGTTACAGAAGGTGATTTTAGCATTATATAACATCATATGTTTCATTTGAACCCTTTTTTTTTTTTTTTTTTTTTAAGCTTACAACTAATTTGTTATTAATTTTGGGCTGCTGAATTGTGTGTATAGCTAGGCTAGTTTTAGACCCAACAACTCAAAGGCCAAAAGGGTTCGGTTTTGTCTCTTTTGAATCAGAGGTTGAGGCGCAGAAAGCGTTAAAGGCTATGAATGGCAGGGTAATTCTCAACTTCGTGTCCACTTTAGGATTTAATGTTTTTTTTCCCAGTATGCATATAATAGAGTTCGATTATGAAGGTTCTAAGAAATTGTTGTGTAATCATGACTATTGGATTAAATAATCTCTGTTCTAATGCATTGCCTATTTCAATTTGGTTTTAAGTACAGATAGTTTTGTTTCTTTAGTCAATTTTGTTGAATATTTGAGTTGAGTGTAATAACTTTAGTGATTGTTTTGAGCTAAGTATCACAGAAGCTTCTAAATGGAAGCTGTATCATGTATTGATCAATCATATACAGAGTCGGAGACTAAATATTTAAATTTTAGAAGTGAATCAGATACTTTCAAAATATTATCTTTTTTATTATTTCATCCTTGCATACCTTATCCAGATCGTTTAGAATTTTGCAAACTTCCACATCCATATTACATCGTATACCCATATCTGTGTTTGTATTCTGTGTATGCATGTTGTTCATACCTTTTTATTATTCCTTGACAGCATATCATTTGCAATTGCATGATGTCCTACCATATTTTTGTTCTATCAAGAAAGAAAGCATTTCTTATTACACTTCATGTACTTCATTAGTCTTCAAATTATGAAGTGAATTGAGAAAATGGTGGGCTATTGACCTTTTACCTCAAAAGAAAGTATCTTTCTCGCTTTGCGGTTGACGCCAGCAAGTTGGAAAACATATTTCTAGCACTGTTTATATTGTGCCAAGTAGGACTAAAGCAAAAGCGAATAGGGATAATAGAGAGCAAGACAGTGGTGATGTGGCACGCTTGTGGCTTTAGTTTTCAATTTTCAATTTCATTGGGAAATGGAGAATACTGCTATTAAAGGGTAGTAATGTTCTCAACATTTAGGCCTTTATGTATAAACAGTGTTATATAGTCATCAAAAGTATAAGGCATCTTATGTTTCAGAAATGCCAAAGTTAAATAGACGGTTTATTCTACTATTGTCAACCATTCTTAGTAATTTTAAGTTTAGATGATTCATCTAGTCAGAATAAAGGGAGAAAAAGAAAAGTGACTCTGTATATTTAAACTAAATGGTTTATATGTTGTCTCCTATCAGTTATTAAACCATTGTAACAGGCAACTTAGGTTCAAGCCTGAACCATTTAATTGATATGGATGTTATTTCTTTCGAACCTAGGTTGATTGATTATTGATATTTATTATGAGAAGTTAGATTTTATTGCACTTCTCTTTCTCTCTAGAATATTTTTATGGCGGATATTTGAGGCTGACCTGCCAACCAGCTTGAAGTTGGCATATTTGGTTGAGCTACATTTTGATAGGGATTTTTAATCTCTCTTTCAATGGATTTTTCAGCTTGAGTCAGTGTTGACAGTGTTAGTTTAGCTGGATTATTGAATAGATTAGTTCCAACTTGAGCTGTTGGATATGCTTGGCCCAAGACTAAGTTGTTTCAAGTTATCCTTAAAACTGTTCTCTCTGTCCTGTGCAATTTATCGGGCTGACAGTTGGCTGGTTGTATTAGAATACATGTACTGATGGATGTGTCGATTATTAATTTGTCAACCTACTTACAGGTAATTCAATAAACTGACCTTCCACATCTTACTCAGTGTAAGCCATAAGGGTGAACAGTATGAAGGCAGTCTTTGTTGTATTTGATATGTTGTGGCTCTTTGTCAATATACTCTATTCGCTGGTTTTTTTAATACCAAATTCAGGGGTTTTTCACATTTGATCGTTAATCAATATTTTAGGCTGCGTGCACTTTTCTTCCTTCACTTCTCCAACATAAGCTTCAAAATGTGAAACCTTTTACTGTATTTCCTTGATGATTGTAATTACCTGTTTGTAGATGTTATAAAACTTATATCTAAAAACACCTCCAGTCTACTTGTTTGAGTTTTTGTTGTTTTGTGCAGATTGTTAATGGGAGGCTGATCTTTGTTGAAGTTGCAAAGAAAGAAGATCCTGGAGAGGGTCCTAGCTCCTGACTGAAAAAAATGGCAGTTTTCGAAATGTTTCTGAATCACATTGCTTTTCATGAAAAAATACCGATTGGAGGGTTTTAAGTATTTAATCAAATGACATTGAGCGTTTTTCCCATTGCGTCTCAAGAAACAGGTGGGTTATTTCCTTGCAAAATTGTGCTCAATTTCATATGTGGCAATTCTATCAAGATCGCTTTTGTTAGTTGGGAAAAGAATCTGCACGATACAGTGTTGTTCTTAGAAGTTTTCCTCTTGAGAAACCTAAATATATTTTTAATTTATGTGAATGTGTAGCATCATACTCACAAGCTTGAGATCTGATTAACCCGTTAATATATACGCTGCTGTTAACTGAGAATCCTGGGATATGCTGCTTATAATGTTCCAATTTGAATACTGGAATCATAGCAGTGAAGTTAATATTTACCTTGTTAGAAATTATAAAGCAACTTTTCCGTTTTTGGCTTTTGATGAGGACTTTAATACACCTAGATGTCCAGATTTCCTCTGTAAGTTTCAAAACAGGAGCACAGAATGCAATCTTTCACAATCTGGCTGTTAATATTTTTGTTCCAGTACATGGATCATGATGTGGTACTCATTCCAGGTTAGTAGTTACTACCATTGAAAATTATTGGAGTGAGCATCTTGGCTTCACTAAAATCCTGGCAATTTTCTTATCTTAGAGACCAAGTTTCATTGTCTCCATACACAATTTAGGGTACCAAAGAAGTCCTACATATCATGAATTCCTAGCATCTTCGGTAGCCGATTAACGAATGTGCTTGACTCATTTCCTCTTGACATGTTCAATACGATGACATTCCGGGCACAGAATCAGAATTCTCTTTGTGTCCTGGATGTCAGAACCACATTTCTTCACTTCAAGACGCCTTTCATTATGCTTTTCAATGTGCAACGGTTTTGTCTGTAACATAAACTGAGTCTCTTGCTATGTAACAGAATCTCATCTAGATGTGACCACAGTCACATAGTTTTAATTCCCAGACCACCATTGATGTACATTAATATAGTTCATCATCAATGACAAGTGTACCAGCAACAGTGAGAGTGTCAGCCATTTGTTTCATTTTAAGTACATTGAGGAGATGGATTAGAAATTGAAGCAGAGTATTCATCCCCTGATTTGGACTGTTTGCGTTGCGTTACGAAGAATTGAAAGTCTCCAATGATTGAAGAAACGTTGAGGCACAATCTAAACTATAACACAGTAAAGTTTTATTTACCCTCATTCTAGAAGTTGATTTCTTAGCTTATACTACAATTACATCAAAGCTAAAATACGGCAATTAACGATAGTGAAATAATTCCAAAAACACTCTTATTAAAAATGTAAAATTTTAATGTCTTTTCAAGCATTGCTATCTCCAGATCTCTGGTGAAAAAATGCCGTCTTGTGTAGCGTAATGTACATGGTTGTGAAAAAAATAGTCATATCACACTTTGAATAGAGGATATTTGGCTGCAATACACCTTTTTAAAGATTGCCTTGGTATGGTTCCAATGATTGTTATAATGGTTTACTCAAAAGTCAAAACTTTATTCAAATCCCTTTTATTTGGAAAATTAAATAGAAATAACCTTTCTTGTGGCTAGTTTACCAAGGTTGAAGTTGATCAAACTTGACGATTGAAAGGGTAAATAAGCACCCATGAATCTCACCAAGAGATGATAAATATATTTTTCTTCTAAATTGAAGTATAGTATATTAGTTTCTAGCTACAAATCTTTATGTGCTTGGAAATATACAGCAAACATATATTATTACGATGACGAAGCTTCAGAGGGTGAGTACATTCTGATCCTTATGAAGCGGGTGAAGAAGAAGTTAATGAAGTATTGGACAGCTACGAGGTAGTGAAATGAACCTCAAAGGAAAATTAAAGGTGAGATTTCATAAGAGTACTATAATTAAACCTTAGCTTATTGCCTCAAACCCAAATGATGAATTGCAGAAAGATTTTTAGGCACTTGGTGTTTGTTGTGGCCAGGCTTTATAAAAATTACACACCTGGAGATGATAAGCATTCTTATTGTATTAAGAATTTAGAAATGATGGAAGATATTACATTGAAAAACTATTAGAATAACAAACTTCCAAAACGCAATATTACACCTACAGGTATTACATAATTTGCTTCACAGAACATATGGTTTGAATGAGAGTGAGCAACGCAATCCCAGCTCCTGTAACAGTGGCGGTGCCTCGCCAAAGATCCTTGAAGTACACACTTTTTAACGTTGCTTTGGTATGATTCCAAGGATTGTTATAGTGTGCTTTCAATTCCATGCTGGTTTTATAATAACATGACCTACTTCTATGAATTTGTAAGCTAAGTTTGTTGAACAAATTCACTACAGAAATATTATCCCCCAGACGATTTCTAATTATCCCCTTTCCAACAAGCAAATCCACGTCTTTCTCACTATTAATAAGATAATCCATTAACCTCACGTAATTGCAAACTCGAGTATTCGATGGATAATGACACTGCTCCAAAGCCTTTATGTTTCGAAGCAAACGTTCTGTCCCATAATCAGCCACTACCAAATGAGGTATTTGCAATTCATGAACTTCAAAGTATGAAATCAGCCGCTTTCGCTTCTTAAATCTTATGTCGAGTAACGATGTTCTTGCAATACCCTTAAACTTCACTCCCGACTCGTGCAACTTTACTGCACAAGGTAAATCTGAAATGAACCCTTGCTCTAACTCCTTTCTCCGTGGGAAATTTTTGAAGAGAGTACTTCTTCTCAAATCAGTGAAATGTTTAACCACCATCTCAGTGGGTAAGGTATTGGATAAACATAAGAATTTATGAGAAAGATCCCTGAAGGTAGGAGTTTCAAAAGCTAAATTGTATAATTCCTCGAGGACAAAGAATGGAAGTTGATTTTCAAGTAGCTGCAAATCCATCTTTAGGGAAAACCTTGTTGTTGGAATCTTTAACAAAAAATTGTCACTTCTATCGTTATGGTAACTCCTTAGGAAAAGCTCGAGGATGAAGATAGCATCATGTTGAATCATGGTTATAAATGCATCACTCTCCATTTTAATGACCTCTGCATAACAAGTACGAATTCGCTGTTCGTTGTTTTCTATGAAGCTTAAAAGTTCGTCACATTTCTCAACTGTTATTCGCTTGAGAAAACTTTCCATATACTTTATTTTCTGTCTTTCCATGAAAGCTAATTCTTCTTTACCGTGGTGAAGAGGACCTATTGAAACAAACCGAGGAGTGTAGGCTTCTTCATTTATTCTGCGAATGCTCTTAGGAACCCTGCAAATATAACACTGAAGAGTAGGCTCAGGATCTGATAAGTTTTCTTCAATGATATCAATTAGCAAATCTTTGCTCTGGTCCTCATCTTTACAGGCGGCAGTACTACTCATCTTCAAACCCATATTCCTACATTAAAAAAAAAAAAAGATTTGTGAGTAATGTTCCTCCTCTCTAATTCTAGACTGGGATGTGTTAATAATATTTATGGTTAGTATCTCTGACTCTTCAAAATTCTATATATTCTTGTTCATCACCTTGATATCGTGTGTTTCCTCTATATTCTGTGCAGATTTCAGAAATTAAGACTATAGTTTTGTGTATGAGCTTATTTACTTAAAATTGCCTCGAGTTCCTAACTTATATGCATGTATTAGTTTCTCATATATTACAAATATTTATTCATATACGATACTACACCATCTCTCATATCCCCAACACTTGGATGCTAATTAAGGGCTTCTTTTTTGTTTATAATCCTAAAATAATTCTAAAACAAAAATAAATAAATTGTAAACAAATATTATGTTGAGTTGCTACTTACTAGTTTATGCATGTTTTTAGGTGAAATGACATCTAATATACGTTAAAATGAGTTGATAGATATAACATCTTAAACTATTCTCAGAGTTAGAAACTATAGAAACATAGAACAAATTTTGTTCGTTTTCTTTGTAAGCATATACTTTGATATTCATAATGAAATGAATATTCATTCCATGTTATTTATGCACACTTTATTAATTTTTTAAACCAAACATCGGAATAACTAGGAATAATTTCTTTTGGACTAGAATGATAAACAGAAATAACATGAATATATAATTAAAAATAATGAAACAGATGCAAATTTGAACCTGAATATTTTGGCCAAAAAATTAATAAGTAGTTGACAGCACCAGAGCTCCTCCTCTCAAATATATATTTTAATCGCAGAGAAATGCCCCATAAACTAATGGTATCCCACTCCCACAGTCCCTCTCTTCTCGACAGGTCCACTATATATATAAGAAGACTAATAGCTAATTGAGTCAACTTTTCTCCCACCTGTTGGTCAATAATTAAATAGATACCAAATGGGTAACAACCATTTGCAAGAAATAAATGCTTCTATAGAGGTTTATCTGATTATCTGGTCATACCCAAGATATAATAAATAGAAGAGAGTTATAGTTAAAATGGTAAAGAGGGTAACAGACAGGCAATCAAATTTTTTCAAAATTTAAAGAAAAAATAGAAAAAGAAATTGAATGAACAAGAAGACTTGGGCCAAGTCTTTTACCCAGTGTACAGGCCTCAAGCGACAGAGCTAAAAGATGAAATGTATTTGCCGATCAATAAATATATATGGAAGTGGTTGGCTTGTCATGCATGATAGAGTTAGTTGTCTTACATGAACAATAATTATTTGGTGATAGCAACTATCATGCATGATTCACGTTGTAGCAAATAATCAAGAGCAAAAAAATCCTAGAAGATAATATTGTAGAGTGATTTGAGATCGAGTAACTATTTTTTTTAAGATAATGTTCTACAGTATAATACCATATATTCCATCCGTTCTAAACCTCTTGGTTAAGAAAAAACAAAAAACAAAAAAAAAACAGAATAAAATGAGAGTTGTAGCAACCAAATATTACATGGAAATCATAAGCATTGTAGGAATTAATATAGTCAATTAAACATACTATACATATTATATACTGAAGCAATCCTATTAATTAATTGTAGACGACAAAATCTACGGTTATGAAGATAGAGTATGATCTTGCGAGTTTAAGGCCACCAGCAATTTGTTGCACATGCGCACACAAGAAAACAAGCGTGAAGCTTACGGAAAGCACCGGGGTGGTGTTTGCCTAGGCACTCTGACGCTCAAGTCAGCAAGGCTGGGTGAGGCTAATTTAGAGAGGGTAAGGGAAAGAAAAGGTTACTAGGAATCTAGCCGGAGATTAGGACTATGGCGGTGATGTAAGGCTCTCAAGAGTGAGACTATGGGGCTAGTAGGCGTAGTATTCTGTGCCTGTGTAGGATGTTTGAGTCCTAGTAGGACTGTGAGTCCTTGGAAGTTGAGGTTTAGTGAAAAAGAAAGGCTTTGACTCCCTTACCTTAGTGGGAGAGGGAGTCCCAACGGGTCTAAGATACGAATGTTAGACAAATTAGGATAGTAATTAATCTCTTCAGTAGAATCCGAATAGTTCCGGAGTAAGTAGGCAACCTTGGGATCCAAGTAGACACTAAGTTCCACAGGTGGTCTTGGATCAATGGGCCCAGACCCAGACAAGCTAATGGTGAGGTCTAAACGAATTGGGGCCTTTATTGGTTGGGCTCAAGCAGTAAGCAACATGGTAGGTGTAATGAGCAGGCCCAATATGCAAACCCTATATGGGCCTAATCGGAATTGGGCCATGACTCCAAGCTTTGTTAAAGGTGTCTTCGCCTTGGGCCTATTGAGGCCGAGGACATTTTTTGGCCCTAACATTAATTATCATAAAACAAATTAAGAACATGAATAAGTGAATTAATTAGAACCTGAATATTTTAGTAGAAAATGCAACAATAATAGTGTGGTTGAGAGCAGCAGTTTCTCGATCCTGAGATCCTCCTCTTGAATACTGTCACAACTCACAGGGATTTGTTATTGCCAGTAATACGTTTTCTCTTCTGCTTCCATTATTTGCCTTACTATGTGTTATATATAAACAAGTTCATCTTCTCAATTTAACGATTAAATAAAGACTGCAGTAATGTTAACCAGCAGACCTATACACACAGGTTGTCACCTGTTTCCTCGGCTTCTGCACATATTTCCTATATAAAAAATGCTAATTAATTGAATGACCAGAGAAAAGACTAAGTGAAGTCAATGTAAATTAATTAACTGGGGCTTACTACATAATTTACAAAGACGATGTACCTAACACCTATGTTGTAAACTTGAGTTAATCTTATCCTAATCAAGATTCAACACAATCAAACAAAGATCAAATACAGAAAAGGAACAACATGCAATCTTTTTACCGTGGTTCACTTGTTCAACATTGAACAAGCTACGTCCATGTTGAGCTCCAGAATATGCAGACTCGCTGCACTATTATTATTGTCACCAAAGATTACAACATACCACTCAATCTTCCCTTCAAGACCTTACTAACAAGAATCACACAGACTTCACTTCTATACCCATAAATCTATAACCCTAATGAGAATTCTAACCCTGATTCTCTACACCACAAAGAAACACAACTTTGATTGTTGAATCAACCACTGATTTACACAAAAGCAAAGTACTATACAAAGAACCCTAGTAGAGCAGTTTAGATTGAGCGATTTTGATCGAAAAAGACTGTTGAGAATGAGGAAAGACTTCAGCTTTTATATGATTGACCACTAGTAAGTCTTCAGCCGTTAGATTGCTTAGAGATCAATGGCTAGAAATGCAAGATGTATTAAAGCTAAAATGATAGCATAAAGGCTTCACTCATTAACAATCTCCACCTTGAAGCCTTGTTCTTTCTCCAGACAGTAACAAATTTTTGTAGCAAGCTTCTCACATACTCCTTCTCAGCTCTATAAGATCAGTTGATGTGCAGTAGGTTCAAGCAATGCTTGAACTTTGCAAGAGTTACCACTTTTGTTCCCATATTAGCTGGGTTCTTTTCAGTTGGTATTTTTAGCAGATTCAAATTCCCTTTTGTGATTTGGTCTCGAACAAAATGATACTTCACATCCACGTGTTTCGTCCTCTAATGATATACAAGGTTTTTACTTAGATGAATGACACTTTGACTATCAGAATACATAGTCACAAGTCCATCCATCAAACTTGCTTCTTTCAAGATCTCTTGCAACCTTATTGCCTCCTTAAATGCATCAGTCACTATCACATATTCAGCTTCTATTGTGGATAGTGCAACCAATGGTTGTAGTTGTGATTTCCAATTGATGCAGTTTCCTCCTAAGGTGAAGCAATAGGCTGTAGTGGATTTCCTTGAGTCTCGATCACCTGCAAAATCAGAGTCTACATACCCAACAAGATCAAGTGTAGAGTTTCTTTTGCAAAAGTCTAATCCAACATGCATTGTGCTATTAATGTATCTAAGCAGCCATTTTAATGCAACCCAACGTTCTAATCCTGGATTTGACATAAACCTACTTAGTAATGATATTGCAAATGAAAGATTGGGTCTTGTGCTTATCATGGAGTACATGACAGATCTTATGGCACTTGAGTAGGGGATAATTTCCATTTTTAACCTTTCAACATCAATTTTGGGGCACTGCAATTTACTCAATGTAAAGTGACTTGCTAAGGGTATGTTAACAGGTTTAGATTCAGTCATTCTAAACCTAGAAGTCAGTTTTTGCAGGTATGGTAATTGGTGAAGTTTCAGCCTATTTAATTTTGAAATACACATCATTGACACTGATATTCAAGAAACTTATAGAGTAAAGTTGGCAAAGAAAAAATCCTTTTGGTTTGAGCCATTGCCTGATGTGAAACAGAAAAAGAAAAATAATTTTTCTTTTCACAGAGACAAGGCCGGGAATGAATTTTACTATTCTTTGGAGCCATTCAAGCACATTGTTAAGAGAAGGAATTTGAGTTGTGATAAAGAGCTTGGATTGTGCTGGTCTGGTAACAGACCTATCATCAAATTTGATTTCCCAGTTGTGCATTCACCAAGGTTGGAACTACACAACATTAGCATTTGAGAGGTAAGTTGATTTATCACAAAAGATTTTAGGCTAGCTTGCCACAATACACATATTGTGACATGTCAGGCAATGTGCAGGATGATCAGGTAAAGCAAAGAATCCATGCCGCCAATAATTTATACTTGAAGAAGCCATATCAAATGTATTCTTTGATTAAAATTTAGTACTTGACATTGATTTTGAGAATTTGCACATGTGTTTTTGTGGCTAAATGATGAATTTTCAAACGCTTCCCTTCTATGTAACAAAATTTAATTGTGGTATAATCCGAAATTCTTATAATAAAAATGATGTAAAAGGTGCACGGTCTTAGGTTCGATTCTTCATATAAGTATTCGCAATTTAAGTGGAAACTGTGACTGTAGGTTGCTACGCTAGTCTCTCCCAACAATTAATTGAGATGCAGGTAACCTTACTCGATTAAGGTTAAAGAAAAAATAATGTAAAAGTGATAAGAGTAAACAACATATTCCCACCTAAGGTTTGACGAAATCCCAGTTAGTACCATAGGTTTCATTTATTCCAGATTCCCACCCTTAAAGTGACAGAAAAACATTTGATATACCGGTAAAGGGGTAAATTGGTCATTTTACATGGGCGGCGCACGTTAGCAGACCACCGACTGTAACAGTCCTCTAGCGCACATTAGCAGCCGGCGTTCCCGACATTTTTCGCTCTTTTTCCGGCGATTCTTCCACCCAAAATCACCCTTGTCACCACCATTTGACTCCTATCCTCCCCTACAAAACCCCTAACCTTTCTTGCCACGGCAGCTCACCGTTTGCTGTCCACCACTTCATCGAAAAACGGTTGATGAACACGAACTCTCGGTCGGTGAATGACGACAAAACGGTTGTTGGGGACATAGGGGTTTTATAGATTTGGAGACGGTGGTTGCATTGGTGTTGCCCAATTGGATTTTCGCCGCTGGAATCGACCGGAATCCGGTGAAGAACACTAAAACACTAAGCCTAACGGCGCCGACGATTGGAGGGGTAAATGAGTCGGGATCGAAAGGGGTTTTGGACGACGGACTATGTGGAAGGTGATGGAGGTGACCAGGGGGTTCGACGTCGTTGGAAACAACCCATATCGGGCTGTTTCCGACGAGGGCGTATAGTGACCAAGAGTGTTTTTGATATAAGTTGAAAATAAAAAGGTAAGTTATAATTCTATTAATTTAGGGGTTAAACCATAATTTATTAATTTAGGGTTAAGGGCATTATGGTAATTGCACCCTCTAAAACCTAAAAATTCATAACACTATTACTTTAAGGGTGGGAATCTGGAATAAATGGAACCTATGGTACTAACTCGGATTTCTTCAAACCTTGGGTGGGAATATGTCGTTTACTCAAGTGATAAATATTAACATCAACCCGCCCCATAAACTCTCGCTTGTATTGTCATGGATATAAAATAGCAGCTGCTAAGCCTACCATACACGAGATTAGAGAAGGAATTATGGAGAGCAATGTTAAAAGCGGGTCGTCAGCTTCCTCAGGAGATCCGAACCCGTGCCCCATCTGTCTCGGACCCATGGTTCAAGACTCCTATCTTGATAAATGCTACCGTATGTTCACTCTAACCCTTTGTTTGGTTGCCTAGAAAATTACTGGAAAAGAAAATAAAATAAATAAAATTGGGTTTATCTTTTGTTTCTTCTAGGATATGTTTTTGACATTTTCATGAGTTGGGTTTCTCCAAAACATTAATTTAAGAAAGCCCTTTATGTCGAAACAGTGGAAGATATCGCTTATGTATTCATTAAATTTGTTTATTGGTAAAGTGACGATTTTATATAGAATCGAAGAGAAATTAATTGCGGCAAAAATGAATTTAACGTTAAAGATTAGATTTTTAATTTGTTGATATTTCTTGTTTCGATAACGTACTGGAATTGTGCTCGCAATCGACATTGTTGTACTTTGCGTTATTTACTTGTTATTTATTTATTTATTTTTGGGGGATTACATCTGTGAAAGTTAAGTGTGATTTCAAATTTTTATTTTGAAAAATATTCTGCCTGCATGTGCATTTAGTTACAAGTTAGAATATATTGATTAAGAAGAAAGTGGAATTTATCGGTTTTGATCATTTGTGAAGGCTTTGGATTTGCATTGCTGTGGTGCAGATAAGTTTTGTTATAACTGTATTATACAATGGACTAAAGTGGTTGCTAGCAAGCATTCGAGCCTGCTTTCTTCGGTAAAGTGTCCTTTATGCAAGGTTAGTGTTGTTTAGCATCTTCACGACATCTGCTAATATGATTTTCTAGTTGGGTGGGCTGGCAAGCCATGACAAGATGTAAATTTGAAAAGTTTTACTGATTATGCTATGTTTATACCAAGATGCAGACTGAGAACTTTTCAATCATCTAGGGATACGATGGAACTCATTTTCAAAGGCATTATATTGGTCAAAATTCTGGGGATAGGTAACTCTTTTCTTCAAAATTTTCTTTTCATGTTCATTAGATGTCTTTTTTCACTCTTTTACTTTTGCTAATTGCAGGTTTATCTTTTCAAAAGCCCGTAAGTATAGACTGCAATGCTATTACACAGAATCAGGTCTTAATCAGCGTTTCATTTGATTCTTTGACTTTAAATTTCTTGCCGTCATTTTGCTAATTTATCTTCTGACAAATCACTCGTACCCTGTATATGTTTTTTAGTCAATTATGTGTTCAATCAGGTATCTTAAATGACATATTCAATGTTTCTCGGTACTGGAAGTCTGGTAAGTATCATCAGTCAAATCAGTGGCTGCATGGTTGGTTGAGAAGGGAAATCCAAGCTCTGATGCAGGTATGATGTTCATCAGTCTCTTGGTTCTTGCAATTTCTTGCCCTTCTTTACTTAGAGCATGGTTGGACATCCAGTGAAAAGTTAAATTTCTCTATTTGCCCTACAGTAAATCCTCTGAAACTAAAAGGAGATTCCCTAATTGCCGTGCCGAATATTGGTTATATATCTTTTACTTGAGCCATCCTTTTTATGTAGTAAAGCATTGTTTGTAATCATGGCACCTATATCTGCAAATGTTTTTTTCCAATGGAGTGAGTTGGCCCACTTATATGTAAGACACTGAGATCTATTTTGGCTGTCAGAAATTTTATTTTGAAGTTCATCCAGTGGCGATTATTATACCATTTTCTCATTTTCAGCTGGAATATAACCCATAAGTTGGTGATGCTTGTAATGTTTATCTCATTTACCTTTAGAAGAAGCCCTATGTTTTTCTCCAAATTGGAGGAAAACGGTTTGACTATATTTTACTGTCTGAATTGCTTTCTGGAACATAAGCTGGTGATGCTTTTCTTGTCGAATTCAGATTATGAATCTACTTCATTGGGATAGCAAGATTACTAGACAATTTGGATCTGTTTTCTTGTGAGGATAAATGATAATTGACTAGATTTTTGGGGAACATATTGAAAAGTTCCTGTTGTTGACCGTAAATTTTAGCATTTTGGAGCTGAATCTAATAGCAGTAATTCTGTCTTTAATTTGTTTTTCACCAGAACAACCTGATTTCTAGTCTTCTGTGGCTCTTTTGAACTATGAAACAAAACTTTTTGCATTGGCAAGTTTAGGACCACCTGTATTATCGATATTGTCTATAATTGTGCTGTTTACAGGAGCTGACCATGCACTTACCTCTTCCAAACTTGTTATATGTTATATTACTAGTAAAATTCCTCTATATTTTGTTGACTATTGAAGACTGGTTTGCTTGCTTTTTTATAGGAGGAAGATGTTGAAATTGTTGTGCATCACATAGTTGGTGTGGTTGATTCATTTTTGAGGAGGTAATATTCAGTGTTGCTTGCATCTTAAATTTATGGAAATTGATTTGAAGTTTCTATCAATTGAAACCCCGTTTTTGTTTCCAGTTTTTTGGTTATGTATGATGAAACTTGTAATTTAACTTACCCAAATTTGCTATGATTTCCAGAAACGAGCATATGAGACGAGTAGAAAAACCTGAAGCAAAACAACAAGACTTGAAGGCTCTAGTCTCTGATGCGGCAAGACCTTTTCTAATGGCAAGAACAGATCGATTTGTGAACGAGATGGAACCTTTTCTTGCTTCTGGGTTTAACATTGAAGCCTATGATGCAGTCTACATGCAACGGTTGGGTTGGAACACTCCCAGAGTAACTATCGAGTCCACGGAAAGGGAATCCAGTGGGCAGGCCCCTGTAATAGTCCCATACTTGTATATCTTCGATGAGGATTCGGATGGAACTGATTGAATGTTTTCTTACTATTTCTGAAGTTTGTATTGACTTCCATTATTATGAGTTGATACTTTGTTGCCAGTTCTTGATATTTGAAGTCAGAAGAGGATCCTTGCCTTGAATCAATTGAGCCAAGGTCCCATGGTTAACTGAGTTTTCCATTGAATAGCTTTAGTTGTGAAGAAGACTATGATCTTTTTGAGGTTCCTAATTTCACTCAACTGGATTTAAATTTTTAAGTTGTGAAAATGCATCTAGTAATTCTCTTTCATGTCATATTATGGTGGGTGACAGGTCTTCTATTTTAGGTTATGTTTGAGAGGTGGGATTATGGGGTGGAAATTTGGAATTGGACTATTTTTTCCCATGTTTGGGTATTATTTTAGGAGACTGAGATTCGATGTATCCCAGTCTCCTTTATTTATCCTAAATCAATGGGATAAGAAATACCATGGGGAGCCACAGGAGCTCTTATGGGGTAACCAATTATTTGTTTTTCTTTCAGTAATTATACTCATTAAATTTATATATAATTTGAAATTATTATTAGTAATATTTTAGCTAATAATACTTTTTAAATAATATATATTTAAAAAATAATACTATTAAAATATTTTAATTAACTTTTATATGCAATATAATTTTATATTTAAAATTATAGATATTATATTGAACGATTATAGTATTAAAATAACTAGTTATTGGTTCAGGATATTGTGATTTAATTTGACACTCCTTGTGAACCGTTCACAAGGAGTGTAAAAAAATTAAGTCACAGTATTCTAACCCTGAAAATAATTAATATTATGTTTCATTCAAGTTTCTTATAAATATCACAATTATTAATATAAATAATTTAAATTCTGCAAATTGCACGGGCTTCGGAAAATTTTCAAAGGAACAGGGTACATCTTATTTTAGTCAAATAAATAGGGTTCTTTATGATATTAGTCAAATGAACACGGATCTTTCTGATACTAGTCAACTGATCAGGGTTCCTGTGTCGTAGGTGAAATGAACAGGGGACTTTCTGATATTAGTCAAATGCGCTGACCATTGGGTCATTATTATTCAAATGAACAAAGACTTTCTGCCGCCGTCCAATGGCGAGTAGCCACAAAGTCACTACATGTCTTGCGGTCCATTGTTGGCTGAAAGAAGTTTTATTGGCGGGATGTCTACCTCTGTTTATGATAACATCAAGGATAAAGCTGAGCTAACCATATACTGTGAGAACAATGGCAGTGGAAGTAATGGCGAGAGAAACAAATTATGGGGCTTTCGTGAAAAAAATTATTCTCCAGCCAGTCCCTTCACGTCATCCACTTTTGCAATTAAAGACATGCAAGTAATCACCATTCTGTTCTATGGGACGTACTTGTAAGTTTCCAACAAATTTATAGTACGGATACCTTATTCATAGTAAGGGTACTATACGGTACTAAACTTGCCCTCACTTATTTAATGTTCTAGTTCCCGCTTTGCTCCAACTTATTAAAATTCCTCGTTCCAGCTTTGCCCTAACACTCTTGCTACTACACTCCCTCAGCGACACCCACTTCTTCTTTTTCATCGGGTACGGCAACGACGACGATAACGACGACTGGCGACGACGAACGACGATACGACGACTGTGACAAAGAACGGTGACGACGATACGACGATAACGACGACCTGTTACGACGACGAAGAACGAACGACGATAACGACACTGGCGACGACAACGAACACGATAACGACGAACGGCGAACGCATCTCTTAATCACTCCCCGTCTCAGAACGACGTTAACGAACTGAGTTGCAAGATTTTCGAGTTCACAAAAGGTGCGTTTCTTTTTGTTTTAATTGGATTTTTTTTAATGATAGTGGTGCATTGTCTCTAATTATATTAATGTATCTTGTTGGTTTTGAATCTCTTGATTCGTTTTGGTGGTTGGTTTGAACTTCGCTGAAAGTTTTACTCATCTCTATAGATGGCTGCTGATCGTGATGTTAGTCTTTCTGGAGGCACTGATCATATGGAACTGCTAAAGGATTGGAGATTGGATGATAGAGTGAAGTCTTTTCTTTGTAATTCTAGAATTTATAAGTATATTAGCGAATTAGATGCTGTTAGGGTAGATACAAAATTAGTTTCATTTCTTTGTAATTCCTATGAGGATGGCCATTTTCATATAGGTAATCATAGGTTATATTTAGGATTACAAGATATTTTTTATCTAACTGGACTACCCATTGATGGGAAACCAGTTATATCAAATTCACAAGATATAGATGGGCTGTGTGAGAGGCTTTTAGGAAGAATCCCACCGAAGAAAAATGTTGTAAAATCTGGGTATGTGGGACTGAAATGGTTGAAGGAGGAGTTTGAAGAGGTTAATGTCCCAGCTGATAGCCCTGACATTCACAGATATGTCAGGGCTTATTTGTTGTTTGTCTTAGGTTGTGTAGTTTTTCCCGGGCTGCCGAGACATCAAGTACCAGGAGATTATCTTCATCTCTTCGACGATCTTTCTGCCATTGATGATTTTGCATGGGGGTCAGCCATGTTGGCTCACCTCCATGTAGCTTTGAAGAGGGTGAGAGACAAAAATAGCAAGGGGAAAAACTTATCAGCTAGCTGTTTTATACTCCAGGTAAGGGTTAATGTTACCGTTTAATACTGCATAATTGTTAAGTATACTGTGCATTCTCTATCATAATATTTTTATGTTTTTCATTGTTTAATAGATTTTTGCTTTGGAGCACCTTCCAAAGCTGGTTACTTCATATTTTGGTGGTGACTTCGAGTTGCCAAAAGCTATACCGCTTGCTGGGGGTTGGTCAAAACTTCTGGCACGCTATTCTAGAAACAACAATAAGAAGTTTAATATGGCGGAAGCAGATGAGGTTTGAATTCTTTCATTCTTTCAAGCTTCAAGTTGTTATGTTTATGCTTTGTATTTTTTATTAATATTTTTGTTTGTTGATCAACTCTCTCTCTCTCTTCACTGTGCAGATTTCATTGACGCCGTACAACCGAGTCTTGATTTCTGATCCTAACTTCTTGGATCAATTTAAGTTGTGCGGCGGTCGTTTCTATTCGATCTGCTTAGATCGAATATGGTTTTATAGCTATGAGGATTGTGCTGATCAGTTGGGTCTCCCTCCTGTGGATAATCCCTTGCCGAAGATGGATGTTGGCACGCTACCAAAGTGTAGGAAGGGAGAGCAGAGAGATTGGGAAAAGTATTATGAAGGATATGTAGCACATTGGAACGATAGGCAGTCCACATGTGTCGATCTATCCCTGCCTGCTATTGTAGAGGATGAAATGGAGTTTATGCCTTCTCCTGGTATCTTCACAGGGGTTTCTCCTTCCTCTGCATTAGTAGCGGATGGAGCGGATCAGCCTCTTCAAGAGCACACAACAGAAATGCCTTCTCCAGTGATTGAAGAGGGGCCATCTTTGCCTTCTTCCCATATCCTCCCAGGAGGCGACTCTGTGCTGGCAGTGGATCAGCCTCCTCAAAAATACCAAACAAAAAGGCGGTTGAGAAAATGGTGCCGAAAGAAATATTATACCTTTATGGTGAAACCAAAGCGATCGAGGCACCCAGTGTTAAACTTGTTTCTGTAGAACAGAACTTTCAACCGAAGAATTCAAAGCAATGAGACTGAGGTATAAACTTCACATAAGCTTTTTATTTCTTCCTCAATAATACACACAACAATTTGGGCTGCTGGTTTTCTAAATTGGATTTAGTTGTTGCTTTTCCATGAACTTGTGGCTGCAACTTGGTTTAACGGATTTAGTTGCTGTGTGTGCTTTTGTGTTAGGGTGATGGGGTGTATACTTGATTTTGAATTCTGAAATAGGGCTGTGTGTGCTTTTGTGTTATAGCGATTGGGTGTATACTTTATTGGCGGGATGTCTACCTGTACAACGACTTCGCTGTTTATGATAACATCAAGGATAAAGCTGAGCTAACCATATACTGTGAGAACAATGGCAGTGGAAGTAATGGCGAGAGACACGGATTATGGGGCTAACCATTTTCACTTTTTCTCTTCATAACACCTTTTTAAACATCTCTTTCTGCAGGTGCCATGGAGGCTTGTATAAAAAAATAAAAATGTAGAATGTTGAAATGTACTTGTTCAGGGGCCAGTATCCTCTTCATTTCCTACAAAAATTCAGGGAATACATAGATATATGTTTCCTCTATGGGAAAAATAGTTGGAAATTCAAGATCTTAAGACCATTTGTCCCTGTTCAGCTGTTGTAAAAAAGTATGTACATCTTGCTGCAAGAAGAGAATGGGGTGTGTCTCATGTCAATAAATTTTGCAGCCACCATTTCTCTCAAATAATTTTACCTTATCCAATTTAAAAATTACTCATCTGAATTATATTCTATCAGGATAGTGGTATCTTTGTTTACCCTACAGTTCGAGGTCCTCCACCGAAACTAAAAATGGATGCAGCTGCATTTGAAGTTGATATGGCCAAGGCTTTTAGCTTGCTTGCCATTGCTGGAGNAAATATTCTACCCGAAGGGCAAGCAGTTTATGTACAAACAGATGGGAACTTGTTCGGGTATGAAAGCTATACCTTTGTACTAAAAGAGGATTTTAAAAGAATTCTTAATATGAAAGAGTTGACAGCATCAGCCGTAACCGTTTATATAATGTGAGTTGTTTGCTATATTATTGATTATGATTTAATTTTCTTTGGGTGTTATGTTGCACATGACTATTATTTTCGTATTTTTTGAATTGGGACAGGGCTTTATATGAGAGGCTGAAGGGCAATCATGGTAATAATAGTGGATTTGATTTTATGAGCCCCAGCTCACTGTCAATAGCAGGCAATATTGATGCCACGCAAACAAGACCAGCACGGGAAAAATTGCTTGCCAATCGGTTGGCTATGGTTAAGAAGGAAAATTTAATTATAGTGCCATACAACCCAGGGTTAGTAATTTATTGATTTCTTACCTTTATTCTTGTTTGAATAATAATTTTTTAGATTTAAAAACAATGTCTATCCTAATTTGTTAATTGCGATCAAATGATTTTAGTAGGTTGTTATTTGGTTATGATAATCTACTGTGACTCAAATATACTGTCTTCATGCTTCTTTCTTATTTCGTTTTTGTTTTAGGCTAATTAACTCTTGCTGTGTAATTATTCTTTTGCTTCTTTATGGTTGTCGTATTGGGTGCTTATCAGATTTCTTAACAGGTTTCATTGGGTTCTTGTTGCCATTGACATGAAGACTTTAACGGTGTACTATCTTGACTCCTTAAGGAATGATATTGCAACGGATTTAAAAGAAGTAGTGCAAAAGTTAGTAATTCTACTTTTGTCATTTTTAATGCTCTATATAATATCAAATACTGCGTGTTAATTTCAGAAGTTGTTTTAACTTTCACAGTGGCATTATTATTCATTCCGCCGATGAGGTCTCTAATATCACATGGCAACAAGTATTGGTGCGTACAATTGTTATTATCAATAGCCATTAATTTTCCATTGTAATATTGTTTTACCTTTGAATAATGCTTACTTCTAAATTAATTTTGTGTAGGCACCAATTCAACCGGGCGCCTATGAGTGTGGCTATTACATCATGGCATACATGAAGGATATAGTTGAGAATGGCCTGACATCACTAAAAAACAATGTAAGTTTTCTTTTTTCTTTGCACTTTTGAATTATAATAAGATATAGCTGATATAGTTTGTTGATAAGACTTATTGTGTTTACTTTTATAGTTCATGGGGAAAGAAAGATATACAGAAGCAGAGATAGTTGAAATCAGACGAGAATGGGCAATGTATATATCAAAATGTTTTTAGGTATTTTTGTTTTAGTGATGTCAGAGGCCATTGAAGGCAAAAACTAGGTACCAAATTTGTAATATATTGAATTGATTACTTTTCATTTGTTATAGTTGTAAACTTTATATTATTGTTCAATTTTGTTTACTCAGAGCAACAGTAATATAAGTAAACAGAAATATATTTTAGGATTGGTTTGACTTTCTATCATTGAGACAAAAAGTTATACTGCCTTTTGATGTTATAAACAAGAATACAATCCGGGTGTTCTTATTTTGCTGGGGTTTTACTGATTATGGAGTTGGCTTTTTCGGGTGTTCTTATTTTGCTGTTATAGCCTGGGCTGAAAATGCACTTCCTTCTTTTTTCTTTGCATGGAAAGTTCTTTGTGCTTGCTGTGTGTTGGAAGAGGCATCTGTTTATTAGCTGAGGATGGTTATGGTGTTGGCCATGATCTCTTTATGTGGGAAGGAAATTGCAATTTTAGGTGTTTCTTGTGATGTTTTTTTTACTTTTCCCAGTGGAGCTACGTTGCCTATGTTAAAACAATAATATTACGTGTTGTAAATGTAAAGCATAGTACGGCATAGTACGGGTACGATACGTATGTTACGGGTACCAAATATAATTTTAACAATGATTATAGTACGGGTACGATACGTATGGTACGGGTACCAAATGTAATTTTAACAATGGTTAGTAAGATCCGTGAGTACGCATAGCATTACTCATATTTTCTCAAAAAAAGCTATCGGAACTAGAACTGAAACCTAATGTTTAATTAGTACAATACTTAATTAGGAACTGAAACCCTTATAACTTTGACATTTTATGCATTTAAAAAAGCCAAAAAATTGGGCAATCTTGTCTTTACTTTGTAAAAATTTAAATAAATATATAATTATATATAATCCAAATCAAAGTGTATCGGTATGTGAAGTTTTTAATTATAAAAATTTGATATAAGGGCCAAAGCCCAAAATTGATTTAGGATTTGAAGCCCAAAAGGAAATTGACAAATTGGTGGCATCGGAATTAACAAATATTGATCATGAATGTCGTTATTATTCAAATAAAATCCAAATCAATCAACACTAAATAAGGCAATCTTGTAGGATCCAATCTCATCCAAAGAGAATCCTCACACAGGATTATAAAGTCTTCACAATATACCACCGCTGTGTCCATGAAATATTTTTCTTGAGTTCTAGTTAATTCTTTACCTTACTATAATTTATTGTAGACATTTTGGTCATATTGTATCATACTGAATGAGATGTCAAATGGTTTCATTTGTCTGTTTATCAAGGCAAGTATTACCATTCTCTATTAAAATCTAGCTTCCAAGGAGCATAGATTGTCAAAAACTAAAACAAAACAAAATATACAAATCTTAGAAGACTAAATTCCATTGAAGCAAGAGTACATAATCCTTTAGAAAACCATTAATTTGGTATTATAACATACATTAGACTTATAGCATTCTGTTTGGATTATTCTTGCCCAAATACATATTTTACTGCTTTGGTGGTTGAAGCTAATTTCTATCCCGATTTTAGATTGTTAATACCATTCAATGTATCTTCAAGCATCTTAGCTCTCTCATCACAAACATCCCTTTGTTGTGTAACTGTTTGGACCTCTGCCTCCAGAGCTTTGCATCTCTCTGCTAGAGCTAGAATAATGGTTGATGATGAGCTAGAACTACTCATGCCTAGCCCACCGTTACACTTTTTCTCTCTCATATCCTCAACATAAGTCACATCACCACAATCCTAATGATTAACAGTAAAAGTGAATCAAATTCAATCATGCAAGAAAAAAACCAAAAATATTGTTAATAATATAATTAATATCCGCATAATTTGATTCTCATTCCCTCTTACAAATGATAATAATGCTTACTGTACAAAAATAGTAGTGCTTCCCAATGGTCTCCCTTTTATTTGAAACCATGAGTTTCTGCTTCTTTCCGCAAGATTCACAAGGAAGGATGAGTTTCTTCACATAAAGATGAAAAATTGTCAATCTTATATATTTAGCCTATAAGCATATTGTGACAAGAAAGAGAATGAAGAATGAGTCTTACTCCTTCCAACCAATTTCTTTCTTCTATAAATGCTTCAAAAGTAGAGACAGCATCATGAGTTGAAAGGAAAGAACAATGCACAGCATTTGAAACTCCTTGAACTTGAGATTTGCATTCATCCCAACTTTTATATATGCCAGGCTCAACCCCAACATAAACTACATAAAGTTTATTCATTTGCACCAAAAAAAAAGAAAAAATGAGATTGAATAGGCGCAATAAAATAAGGGAAAGAAAAAACAAACCTAGCGTAACACCCCATATTTTTTTTTGGTATAGAAGACTTATTGTGTTTACTTTTATAGTTCAAGAGGGGTAAAACTTTGAGAACAGATTACATATTATTGTTCTCCAATTTAATTTAGACAACTTGGTTTTGATAGAACAAACCTCACAATAATCATTGAAATACTAGTATTTCCATAAGAAGTTTAAGCCTGGAGCCTCAATTCATGTTTGTTTGCGTCACCACAACTAGAAAATCACAAAGCTAGCCACCAGAGTCGCTGACCTCACAGGCCAAATACATATAGCAAACACTATCCCACAAGTTCACTTCTAACTAACCAAAAGCAACAAAAGAAACACCTAATAATAGTATAAAGCTTCTACCTTGGCAAAAGTATAGCCAAAATCACCACATTTCAAGTGTCAACAATCAATAGTTTAAAAAATGGATTAATTCCAGAAGCTGCAGAGCCAAGTTGTTAACATTAGAAGACAGTGAGGTAATTTGAATAACAACCTTCATATATTTACTAAACTCATGATAAACAACTACTACATAGTCAAATACTGCTAAATACATGCTAATTTACAAGTTAATTCATCTGCTATCTCAAATTAGAGTTAGCTTTAAGCAGTACAGATTATTGTTTCCAACTTTAATGTTAAATGCTTCAGCAATTGATCACAACTTTGTTGCTGAAGAAGTTGCATTAGATGTTTAAAGGATCTCGACGGATAATATAGAGCGATCAAGGTGTGGGTAACATTGAAGTTGACTATGTAGTAGTTGCCAACGAAAATAACTCACAAACTTGATTTCAATCTTTAACAGTTTCCAGCAAAATATCACACAATTTAACAAGGGATGGGTGTCTGAAATTTAAAGCCTATGCCGTTTGCACTACCTAATATTTGGAAAGATAAAGCCAACAAACTGATAACCTACACTGAATCATCATTTCCTAATCATCAAAGCAAAGAAATGCATATAATCTAAAACATAGTTTTTAGAATTATGATAATACCCATAGTGAGTCTTTGCGTTAACTGGAAAATCAATTTCAAACTCATATTTTCCTACTGTCTTTTCAAGTAAATAGCATCTGAGAACTGAATAATATTAGTAACACTTAAGAACTCCCCTTCACCATATATCTAGACTGACAAAGATACTAAAAGATCATCAATTTTTAAATAGCATGATTTATAAAACTTAAAAGAAATAATTCTTATAGAATATGAACTTTGTTTTAATTTTTTTAGTTTATTTGTTTTACATTAATTTTGGAATTGAATAAATTAATAAATATTAAGAAGATATTTTTAATAATCCTTTATTTTCAAGAAAATATTAATAAATGCTATAATTACAAAGTCAGGTGTTAGGCTGACTCATGCTTTAGGCCCACATTTGCAATAAGCAAACAAAAGGCAATTGCAAAGAGCCCATAAAAAAAGATTAAATTAAAGGAATTAAAAACGTGAAAAAGAATTAGAACTTGCATTACTGAAAATGAAGAAGATGAAAGATGGCCCTTTAATCATCTCACTTAACATAAGGAACATGAGCTGCAAAGAAACTTAATGTGAAAGAGTCGCTGCAAAGTAATGCCTTAACCAATATACGAAAATGAAATTGAATTTAGTTTCTTAAGATTTGAGACGTTTTTTGATTTCTGAAAGTGCATTCCAGGATGCTCGACTCATGAAGATGAACTTCGTAAACTACAGGCTTCCAACTCAGGTTTCTCAGAACACTTATCCACAGTAAATTACTACTTTCTGAGCAATAATATCAATACTTCCCCTGTCACCTGTTGAAACAAACAGAACCTAAACTTAGCACACGATGTCGATTGATAAATTAACTGAAAATAAATAAAGGATATATGGTTAGGAATCTATTCTGGAAAAGTAGAAGTTGAACACTCAGTAGTCAATTCACAAACTTGCAGTTTCTTAATAACCTTTAGAGATTTGTCAAGATTTCCTGAGAGAGCCCTCAAAAGGGAAGTCTTCCCACAACTTAGGGAATCAAGCAGAAGAGTTATCCTGAAATAATAAAAGAGGAGACAATGAGGTAAATAGAAATACAGGAATTAGCAAGAAAGTATTATTTAACTTCTAGAATCACACTCCAAAGGAAAATGAGTTAAAAACAGAATTATATATTATACAATTGACAAAAGTATCCTAAGGAATGAAATCAATTAACCTTTTGGACTGATATGGCTCCATGGTTGTGAATGAGTCCAGCAGGTTTACAGATTACATCTACAATGTAGTCTCCGATATCTTTTAGTGTTGCCAGCAACCTGTAGAAAGACATATCCCAATCAAAAGAAGATTTGTACAAAACGCTTATTTCCCAAGTCATAGTGGAGGAAGAGCAGAGATAAAGAATAGATACAATAGCAGAAATAGAGAAAATATCAAAACCAAAACTTAATGGAAAGTGATACCTGGTATGTGTTCCTTGCTTCAAGCAGTAGCCAAGAAACAAGCTTTCAATTTGATTTTCTTAGTGATTGAGGATAATGAAGTCAACATTTACACATAGCAAGATTTCCTAGTGACATTTAAAAAATGAAATGAGATGTTTTTGTAGACAAAGATAAAACTAAATATGTTGTATAAAGAAGCAAATATATCATCATATCATTATCAGCAACTCAATTGTTTACTAGGAGATGGAAGAAAATTTAAATTGATGTTATTGGAGAATGAAAGTCTAAGAGCATGCACAATAACTAATTGAAAAAATACAACAAAATTTCAGTTGTTGGGTTTTGGCCAAAGAGGCATGAAAATTATCCATGCTATCCCTTAAAGACTTATGAAAAACTAACTTTAGTAAAGCCTATCATTCGAAGTTCAGCATAGCCTCTATTCGATTTCAAAAAGCTTCCTGTGGCTGAATGAGCTAAGAATCTCTGTGGCAATTGCCATATTGGGCAATGTCATAAACCAGTTATGTTTTCTCTCCCAAGGTAAGTAGGCTGCATTTGTCAGGATCAAGTACAATTCCTAAAAGCAACAAATCAATATATTAGCGGCCAAAGTTTGAACTTCAGACACCTATGAGCACATATAGTAAAGTTGAGCATTGGCTAAATAATGTTTGTTCAAAAGAATCCATATAGGACAAAGGTGATAAAGTTCAAAAATCTCAACTACAAACTTCAATTAGTGACTGATGGCATGCAAGAAACATAAAAAAGTAGCAACCAGAACCCCAAAGACTTATACTAGGATGGCTAAGAGATAAGCATATTAATTGATTTACATATTTCTTCTGAATAACGCACTTGCAGCGTATTCAAGCACACCATTGGTCCATTTTAACATTCTCACAATCATGTGTACCTTACGTTATGATTTTCTCACTTCTACCCTTCATACTTTTATCTATTGTACTCTATTAATTTTTAAACAATTTTTACCATAGCTCCTTATTGCCACTGTTGAGACTTATGACCAAAATGAAGAAACCAGCAACACAAAATTACTTGTTGGCAATAATCCAAAATTTATAATCATGCCATTGCTCCCCTCCAACATCTTCGCCCCCACTACATTCAGTAGTCAATTCAAAAACTTGCAGTTTCTTAATAACCAAAAACTCTGCTTTGCTAGTCATGGTCAGCCTCACCCAATCATAAATTCATACAGTAGTTAATTCCAACAGTTAATGAAGATCCCTAAACTTTAATGTTACATACCCTAAAGGGTTTCACTTTCACTACCACTACACATCAAAGCACCAAACCATGCAGAACCCAAACCACCAAAAACACTTTAAAACAGTTGTACATTGTATATGAATATAAGATCACCATGTAACACGCATTTCCATTTCTAGCTTTTTGAACCACAAAGGCGTTGACCGAAATGAACAAAAAAAAAAAAAAAAAAAAAAAAAAAAGCTTTAAAAAGGAATAAGACTACAAGAGAAAGACAAGCTTTAAACATACATTGAGTCCCTGGCCGAATGCCTCTCCTCTGCTTGGCTCATAACTGCCTAAACCTAAAAACCCAACAAAAACAAGACTTTTATAAGTTGAGGTATCCATCATTATATCAACGAGTCTTATATATGAATAGTCTTAAAACCAAGTCCATCAAAATCATCTAATCATTAAGTGAATAGTCTCACGAGTTTCAATCATGCAACCTTAACATTACTCGTACTTAGCCAAACCCAACGCACATATGCTTAAAATTCTACAGTTATCAATTTCAAAACCACCAGCTACGTTTTCTACTTATTGGTATAATTATTTTTATAGCAAATTATTAGAACTTACAATATATTCCAAAGCAAATTACTAAAAATATAAACAATTTCAATACACTATCAAATTATACTTGCACAAGTTGAAATACAATTTACACCGTACCAGATTTCTTTCCGGATAAATATATTCAGGAGCCATTCAATGTATTTGCACTTCATGATCCTTGCTGAACGTCTCCTAAATCGGGTACTACCTTTCGCACGACCCTGCAAGTAATATAGCAACGAAACACAAAACTCATACTTTCAAACAACATTTCAATTAAATCATGTTTTAAAACTACAGCTTCATATATGATCACATTGTGTTCACCTATCGCCTAGAGCCCAGACAAATGTGACGCCGATTTTCAACTTCTAATGCTTGAAGCGTAACCGACATCATTTGGCACTAATTTCGCCGATCGTTGCGACAGGTTGAGGAACAAATTGACAATCACATCTGCAAAATTAAAAAATTAACAAATATTAATACATATGTTGTATTAGTTTTAATAATAAGTATTTGAAACGATGAAAATGACCTAAATTGTCGGGGGTTGAACTAGTGGGACCGTCAACAATTTTAAATGAGTTATGGAGAACAGAAGGGAGAGGACGCGCGTGGTCGATACGACTCGTTTGTAATTGACTGTAAACTGAAGCCACACAGTCGGATACTTGAGAGGACTTGACTGTAGCTGGATATCGCCGTTAGGCACCAAGGAAAGAGACCTAACTCTGTTGTAGAGCGCCTGATATCACCATCATTAGTTTTTCTTAATATAAATTTATAGGATTGGATACTATCACTAAAGTCCCTCATATGGTTAAATCATTTTGTTTGGTCTCAAATGTGACGCCGATTTTCAACTTCTAATGCTTGAAGCGTAACCGACATCATTTGGCACTAATTTCGCCGATCGTTGCGACAGGTTGAGGAACAAATTGACAATCACATCTGCAAAATTAAAAAATTAACAAATATTAATACATATGTTGTATTAGTTTTAATAATAAGTATTTGAAACGATGAAAATGACCTAAATTGTCGGGGGTTGAACTAGTGGGACCGTCAACAATTTTAAATGAGTTATGGAGAACAGAAGGGAGAGGACGCGCGTGGTCGATACGACTCGTTTGTAATTGACTGTAAACTGAAGCCACACAGTCGGATACTTGAGAGGACTTGACTGTAGCTAGATATCGCCGTTAGGCACCAAGGAAAGAGACCTAACCCTGTTGTAGAGCGCCTGATATCACCATCATTAGTTTTTTTTAATATAAATTTATAGGATTGGATACTATCACTAAAGTCCCTCATATGTCATATGGTTAAATCATTTTAATTTGGTCTCAAATGTTTAATCAATATCATATTTAACCTTATAATTTCTTAAATCTATATAATCAATTGAATTTCCGAAGACAACTTATATATATTCTTTTGAATTATGTTTAAGAAGAAATGTCAACTCATCTAATACCACATACTTACCACATGACTTTGTTGTGTGTTGATGAACATTACAGTTTTCTATCTAACTAAAACTCTGAATCTTCTTCTTCTGGAAATCTTTCATAGATTTTTGAACAATCTGTAATCATAAAGAACAACACATTAGTAGTAAAAGAAAAACCTGTAGAGAATGCTATTTTCAGACTCTAAATAGATCATAGTTTATCAATTAAACAAGAAAATGAGGAATTTTCTCAACAACTACTCTAATATATGCTTCAAAAGCACGTATAAATTAACTTTAAGGAAACATAAATTGTAATATTATATTGCAGCTTCTCTGTATATATTTGATAGTCTATAATTGACCCATAGAGGATTTTAATTAAAGACAAAATCTATAATAAAGACAATAGAGGATTGACTAGTATTAATTCAATGAAGGAGAACGAAGAAGTCTACAGTTAAGTAAATGAATACTTACCATTTTGTAATTGTTGTATGATCATATTAATGTCACTCTCCGAACAATCTCTCTCGTTCAACTCTTGTAACTTTGGCATGCTTAAGCCTCCTCCAAAGAAAGTCTTCATCTTGGAGCATCGACTCACATATAAGCTTTTCAATAATGGGAAATTGAAAAAGTAATTCCCAAAGCAGAAACATGTAAGACTTTCTAAATTATACAATTTCAAATTCTTTAGTTTCTCAAAAACAATATCACCTTTCTCTGTATCTCCCTCGTTTGATAATACTTCTATCATCATTTCACATCTTTCTATTGACAAGTATTCTAGTCGCACTAGACTTTTGGCTGTTGAGGATGACATTAAGTTTTGCATTCCATTGCAATAGGTTACAGTCAAAGTCCTTAGATTTTCAAAAGATGCTAAAGATGGCAACAGAGTAGTCAAATTGTGACAATATTGCACCTTCAAAAAATCAAGATCTTGAAGAATTGAGTTCAATCGGGAGCTTTGTTTCCAAATACACTTTAAATTAGAGAGTGCCCAAAATTCTAAACTTTTTAATTTTGTGAGTACTCCAATGTGTTCATTATCCTCTTCGAATGAGAATATCTCTTCGTATGAACTGACTTTCAATATGAGTTTTTCAAGCCTGTTAAATTTCTGAAGGATTTGAATTGGAATGTTTGCATATTCATCCTTGATCAATTGAAGAGTTTTTACTTTGCCAAAGTTCTCTTGAAACTCTCCTTGCCAAATCGACTTGATATCCCTTCCACTTAATGTTAATGTCAATTTCTTCAAATTGGAATCAACCTAAAGAAAAATAATGTCAATCAAATTAAAATTAATATTTCCACTTAATGTTAATAATTTTTTATATATTTAATAGGAAGCAAGGAGAAAAATAAAATATGATGAAGTATTAATGGTTGTTAGAAATAATCTTATAAAATAGTGTAGTTTTTGAAATTTCTTAAAAAAAATATAGACGGAGTTTGTTGTATCCTAGTAGTGAAGTGAGGTGTCTAAGTGTGTGTTGGCCACTAGTTCAACAATAATGCTGAGCCTATACAAAAACTAACTTTAAATTAAAAAATAAATATTTAAATTAATAAATTGAATACATATACCTTTTTTTTGTGTTCTTGTTGTATTGTTGTATTAAGCTCAATCCCCCCATTCTCTAAATCCTTCTCCTCCCATTCATATGTGATTTTGGATAACTTTGGTGTGCTTGAGATTCCTTGAGAGAAAGTTTTCATATTGGGGCATTCTTCTATAATTAACTCTTCAAAAGATGGGAAATTGAAAGAGTAATTCCCAGAGCAAAAGCAGGTGAGACTTTCTAAACGTATAAGTGACAACTTCTTCAAATTTTCAAAAACAATTTCAGTTGTTGTTTCATCTCCCTCATTTTCTACTATTTCTATCATCATTCCACAATATCCTATGCTCAATTCTCTCAACTGCACCAAGCTTCTTGTTGTTGAAGGTATTATTAACTTCATCAACCATTCGCAACAACTTACATTCAAAACTTTAAGATTTTGGAAAGAAGCTGAGGATGGCATTAGACTCGTCAATCTATTACACCAAATTACATGTAGAACTTCAAGATTTGGAAGATCAGATAGGCACTTAATTTCTTTGTATTCATCACATATATCTAGTCGAAGCTCTTTCGTATTTTCAAATCTTTGAAGGAGTCCAAGTGGAAAATTTGCTGATTTATCATTGGAGATTTTAAGGGCTTTAGATTGACTCTGCCATTTAATCTCTCTGTTGGTATTCTTTAATTCCATTTTCTCCAAATTAGAGTTGATCTGCATATTCATCAAAACAAAATCAAATTAGTTGAGTCCAAGTGGAATATTTGGTGAGTTATCGCTAGAGATTTTAAGAGCTTTTGATTGACTCATCCATCTAATTTCTATGTAATCATTATTGCTTAATTCAAATACCTCCAAATCTGGGTTGATCTATAAGATCCATTAAAACAAATGATTGCTTAATTATTTGTTATTAAGAGTTGATTTAGAATTTGACTCCAAACTGGCCCATCCTAACTATAAGTTGGACTTCAGACATTTTTTATTTATACCAATTTAGTTGAAGCTCTTCTAGATTTTCAAATCTATGAAGGAGTTCAAATGGAATATTTGTTGACTTATTATATTCAATCTCAAAAGTTTTAGATCCATTTAATCTATCTCAAGTTATTATTTAATCTCAATTCCTCCAAATCAGAATTGATCTACACACCTTATTATTTTTAAGTTAATTTTCTTTCTCAATAAACAATGAAATAATTAAAGACTCATACCTTATCATTCAAGAATAGGGATTTTGGCTCTGAAAAATGAGGTTCACACTCCTCGTTATTTTCTTGGAAGCTCAGATATTTTGAAGTCATGAATTTGGCACAATCTTTCAACACCAACTCTTGTAACATTGGCCATTCAAAAGTATGATAGAAAGCTTTAAATTCTGGTAGATTTTCAAGGACCAATGAGGTTACATGCGGAAAGACAAAATTGTCATCTTTATTTGCTCCTTCTTCTTTTGCAACAATCTCCTCTAGAACCTTACAATTATGTATCTTTAGGTGTTGGAGTTGGTGGAGGCTTCTGGCAATGGAAGATGGAAATGCATAATTTATGTTTCCACAACTCGACAAAATCAAGTGTGTCAAATTTTGATAGAAGGAATTTGGATGTTGGTTATAGCAAATTTCTGTAGAATTGATATCTTGGAATGCCTTGTACTTCAAATCAACGGAAATGTCCTGCAATAAAAGTTAATAGTTGTTTCAATATAAAGTAATTAAAAAAATAATAATTATTGTTTCTAATGGATTTGAAAAATGTGTCTTTTTGTAACTCTTAATAATTTTTGAAAGCCTAGGCCCAAACTAAACAAATAATAATATCAAGTTGCATTCTCCATCTTGCTTTATAGAGCTAATGCCATCCCCTAATTTGTAGCCGCTTATTCAACTTGGGTCAATGCTTAAAATTGTCTTCTTGTGATTTAGTGTTATACACTTGTATTAATAAACTAATAAAACTTGCTTCATCCTACTGTTATTGTAATCTTGTAGCTAAAACATTATATTATTAAAATATATCAAAAAAATGTAAAAGTAAGTAAATATTCAAACAAATTACTTGAATACATACCTGTTTTCTGCACGCTCCTTGTATGGTTTTATTAAGATCATTCCCCTCATTCTTTACTTCCATTTTCTCCCACGTCCATGAATCCTTAGCCAAGCTCTCATAATTGATTTTGTGTAACTTTGGTGTACTTAAGATTCCTTGAGAGAAAGTCTTCATATTGGGGCATTCTCTTATAATTATCTCTTCCAAAGATGGGAAATTGAAAGAGTAATTCCCAGAACAGAAGCATGTGAGACTTTCTAGGCTTCTAAGAGACAACTTCTTCAAATTATCAAAAACAATTCTAATACTCGTTGTTGCATCTCTTTCTCCCTCATTTTCTATTATTTCAATTAGCATTCCACAAGATTCTATGCTCATTTCTCTCAACTGCACCAAGTTTCTAGCTGTTGAAGGTGTTATTAACTTCATCAACTCTCTGCACCAACTTACCTTAAGAACTTTAAGATTTTGGAAAGAAGTTGAGGATGGGCCTAGAGTGATTTGCATCTGTTTCTCATCCTTTCCACATGAGAATATTTCTTTGTATCCACACGACTCTAGTTGAAGCTCTTTCAAATTTTCAAATATCTGAAGGAGTCCAAGTGGAATATTTGTTGACTTATCACATTTGATCTCAAGAGTTTTAGATTTACTCTGCCAACTAATCCATCTCAACTTATTATTTAATTCCAATTTCTCCAAATCAGAGTTGATCTACATATCAATTGAAATAAAATATAATTAGTTTTTTATTTTCTTAAAAGAAAAGTTTAATTGTTGGCTCAAAATTCACAGGTCAAACACAAATTACAAAGGCATTGTTTTTTTTTTTTTTTTTTTTTTTAAATCTAACTGTTTTTTATAATTCAACTACAATATATTTTAAAACTAGTAAATTACATTTTATTATTATTTTAAACTTCAAATAAATATTAAATTTACAATAAAAAACTATTTTTTGAAAACTACTAATTAAACATAATATTTTTAAAAAAATTAATTAAATTAATTCCAATATATTATATAATTAATTAAACACTTTTTTTTCTGGCATGTATAGAAAAAAGGTATCCATTTTTGTCATTCTCCCTTTTATTATATGGGTATTTATGTCTTATATTTTTTCCCTTAAATTTAATAGGAATAAATGAAGTTTTGTATTTCTTTTTTGGATATTTTAAAACTTGTTTCTATTTCCTTATAGTTTTACAAAAAGTTGTCTTCCAATTGATGATAATCTAATATAAAATTATATTTATGATTTCTATAAACATTTGATGATTTCTAGAATTATTTTTCTAAATTTTTGTTAAAAGAGAGAGAGAGAGTGTTAAGAATCACATTATTAATTTCTAATTTATATAATGTATTAAAGAATTTTTTTTTTTTTTTTTCAATAAAGAAGTAAATAAGAGACTTGTACCTTATTATCCAACCAAATGAATTTTGGCTCAGAATTATGGAGTGAATTTTCATGGAAGCCGAGATATTTTGAAGTGAATTTTTCACATTCCTCCACCACCAACCTTTTTAACATCGGCAATTCCCAAGTATCTATTCCATGATAGAAAGTTGTAAGTTTTGGTAAATTTTCAAGTGTCAAAAAGGTTACCTGCGGAAAGGCAAAATTATTTGCTCCTTCTGCTTCTGCAACAATCTCCTCTAAAACCTCACAATCCCTTATCTCAAGGTGTTGCAGAGTCTGGAGGCTTTTGGCTATGCTAAATGAAAACACATATTTTATTTTTCTACATCTCTTCAAGTTCAAGTGTGTCAAGGAAGACATGAATGTTGGAGGTTGGCTATCCCAAATCTTTCGAGAACTAGTAACTTTCAGTTCCAAGGCCATCAAATTGGAGAAAATAACCTGAAGTCAAAGATAATTGATGTTTCAATATTTACTCATATGAAAAAACTAAAAAAAGTAATAATTGATAATTATGGATTAATTATAGTTGACATGCCATCGGAATTAACGATCTGTCTTTTGTCTCTCTAATAATTTTCAACATGAAAACAAGCATGAATTAATGAAATCAATTTGACAGAAAATACAAAGTATAGTTATTGAAGAGAAGTACTTAGTAATGAAAATTAACCGAAAATTTAAATCACAAGGAAAAAAAAGGCAAAAAGGGAAGAACAAATAATTCAATATCACAATTATGTGTTAACAAATGAGAATAAGCATAAGAAAAGATAAGAATATATAAGTGCAAGAGGTTAATGTCAACCAAACCTTTTCGTTAAAAATTGGCTTGAGATTGTTATCATCATCGGAAAATTCGACCAACCGTAAGAGTTCAACATTCTTGAGAATTCGCAATTCTTCTAAAGAAATGGTAGAATCATAATTAAATTCCAATATTCTTGAAAATTCGTAATTGGGCCAATCATAAAAGTTCCACCGTTCATTTCTTATTGATATGTTGTACCTTTTAAGCTCTCTGTAAAAGAAGCCTTGAGGCAAAACTATGTCATTTGTAACATCTAATGTTAAAGTGGTCAATTGAGTCAAGTGCTTCAACTCCTTTAGTACTTCAACCTTCCACTGAATACAACATCCCTTTATATACAATTCTTCTAGTTGGGATAGTTTTGGTATCAGATTTGGTGCAATAACTTTTAATTGCCTACAATCGCTTAGATCTAATAACCTTATCTGAGTCAATTGACCAAATTCTGAAGGCAACTCTTTAATATTAGAATATTGCAAACTAAGGACTTTTAGTTGCTTTAGGTTTCTGATAATAGCAACATCTTCAATTTTGCTATGATCTAAACACAATGTTTGAAGGTTTGTCAAAAGATCAAGTGACGATGGCAATGATGATTGTTGCATTCCAAATAAATTTAAAACTTTGAGCTTTGGCATCACTGTGAAAAAGTCCTCAGGGATTTCGTAAGAAGAAGCCCACGTATTAGTCATATAGAAATACTCAAGATTTGGACAATCCAGATCTTTAGGCCAAAGCTGACTAATAATGGTACTATTACCAGGTAAGGAGATTTTTGTGCATTTCTTGAGTTTATCTTTATTCTTCCATTCCCTTTCAATGTCATTTCTCCTTGTAAAAACATGGTGGTCTGTATATGCAATTGTTACGGCAACAGCACGGATGGCATCATGCATAGCAAATTGTCCGCTTTCGAAACTGTCAAGTAACAAACAAGAGTCTTTGAGCTCGCGTACCAATTTATCTAGTCTATCTCTTGCATCTTCCATTGTCAAATTAGCTCCTTCAAGTATATCCAAACCCACAACATGTCTGAACAAGTCTGAAATGGAAGTATTATTTTTCATTAGACTAGAAATTAAAAAAGTTTTCTTGAGCTCATCATCTCTTAAATATGTGTAACTCAAGGCGATCTTCACATATTCCTTTTCCAGTAATCCTATGAACTTTGTCGGTGAAGGCGCCTTTAATTCTCGCAAGGCAACTTTCCAATCAGATGGACTACTCTTGTTCTTTAATGCTTTTGCTATTGTACAAATGACAATAGGCAAACCACCACATTCTTTGCATACATCTTGTGGCAAAGAATTCAATCCACGTGTTTGAATTACACCACCTGCATAGGAAGTTAGGATTATACTAATTGCATTTCCAGATATTATCTTATTGGACTATTTTATAAATAAAACCATCAACTTTTCTGTTTTTTAAATATTTTAAGTAATACTCCTCATTGTTATTTTTCTTTCCACTCTTCATTCTAAAATCATAGAAATACATTTGTCTTATCAAGAGCTCTAAAACAATATTAATAGAAAAGAAAAATAAGCTGATGAGAAATAAGGAAATGTAAAATGAAGCTGCCAAGTCAATTCTCATTATTGTGAACTTAAAATAACTTCATCTAAGAGCTATAATTAACTAACGGCATCTAATAAAAGTAATTCAAATATTAAGAATTAATTTAAAGCATGCATCTTAATGAATATACTTTAAATTTCATGTTCGTCATTTTAAAAAGAAGTGTAACAAATTTCAAAATAGAAGATTGAAGATGTGTAAATAGAAATAGAAATTAAGAGGATCTAAGGTGTAACAACATCTTAAAAGCAAAACAGTGTCATTTATTAGTACACGAAATTTGTATATTCAAGTTTAAAAATTTACACTATTAAATTTATATTATGTTGTATTGTAACTATAGAAAAATTTAAAATATTATATGGTTGTGTAATATATATAGAAAAAAAAATACTGTTGTTAGATTTAAAAAAATAAAAATAAAAAACAGATTAAATATAAATGAGTTGCACTCAAAAAATAAAATAAGATTTAATATTTGGAATTACCTTTCCAGCCCATTTATATTTTAAAGAAAAGGGGCAATTAAGTCTTTCCCTTTCATGCCATGTTTTTCAAGGGCAAAGATGGGACTCCATTGCTATATCATTGTCAGGTGTCAAAAGTTATGATGGCTAACCGATGACTAATGTCAAGGGCTTTTTTATTTATAATATCACAGGGGGGTATTTGTAATCTTAGGGAACAAAAAAATCCAAAAAAAAATTCAAAGGCAAAATATTACAAAATAAAATATTAGAAAAAATTAAAAAGTTCCTGGCCAAACCGCGCCCAGCAGCCCCAACCCCTTGGCAAGCCGCAACCAAATCCCAACCCCAAAGAGTGTAGGTGATTTTTATGATAACCTTTATCTTTTTCTTTCACTTTTTTTTCCTCAAATTTCTTAAAAAAAAAAAAAAAAAATATATATATATATATATATATATAATGTTGGTGTGATGATTGGAAATTCGCGGATTATGGCTGCTTTTGGTGATGGTGGGTTTGAAAAGTGGCAGCAGTGATGTCGTGTGTTCGGAAGGTGGTTGTGATTTTTAAAGAGATGGTAGTGAAGAGGCAGTGGTGATGTTTTGGTTACAGAAGGTTGTAAGAGATGGTAGTGGATTGGGGTGGTTGACAGTGGTAGCGAAAGACATATTGTCTTGTGGTCACAGCCCGTGGGTTGTGAAGGCACAATTGCGGCGGCCTGTTTGAGTGTTTGTTGAAGACGGGATAATTGGCTTTTTTATTATTTTTATAATATAAATTATCACATTATAAAAAAAAAAAAAAAAAAAAATACTCTTATCCTTTTTATATTAACATAACGATTGTTAATCGATAAAGGACCTAACCTTTACTTTCTAATCTTACTGGACCAAATGTTACTTTCGCTAAACCTCAGGACCAAAGATGGGTTAGAAAGTCAGTTTGAACAAAATCTCAATAGCATGTAATTAGAAAATAACCCTAAGTTAGAATTGTTTCAGCATATGGAAATTAAACATAGAAATTTGATTTTCACAATATTTAATTAGAGAATAAATAAAAGTTATGTCTAAGGAATTTTCAAAAAAAAAAAATTAGATTTCTTGTTTTTAATGTGATGCTATATAGATGCCCTAAGCCACCACTATTATTCTATCAATTGAATAATTATATAGATTTTGAAAAATATTTCATGTTATTACTTCTTTTAACTCTTTATTTATTCACATTAAACCATTATTTACTAGAAGAGACAAGACTATTTTATGAGTTATTTATTTTTAGGTGAACAATTTAGACAAGGAAATCAAAGATAGAAAGTTGATGTTTAGAATAGAATATGAATATATTATTATAAAATAAATAAAATATATTTCAATGGAAATGTTGACAAAATAATTAAATTGAATTAATAATTATTAATGTGATCTTAGAGGGAAAAGGCAATTCCTTGCCCTTAAACTGGGCATGGTTTTATGTCAAGAATAGAAGCCAAATTAAACTTTAAAGTTTGAAATGTGTTCGTGTTTAAAATTTACTTTAATCTTTTATTTATTCACACCAAACCATAGCAAATAATTGAAAAAAAAAAAAGAATTACCTGCCATCTTCATGAACAGATTCCAAGCTTCTTCTTCTTGTAAAATACTCATCCCGAAATTTTTTTGGGAATCCATCTTCTGCAACACATCTAAGTTTCTTGTTGTTAGCAGTAGTTTACATCCCCCATGATCCATTTTAGAAGGAATGCCCATAGTCTTGAGATCAAGATCTTCCCAAACATTGTCTAAAATTAAAAGGATCTTCTTACCGCTCTTCAATCTCTCATATAACTTACTTGCTCTTTCACTCTCGTTATTGAATTTTAGGCCTAACTTATCTGCAATTTCTGTTTGAACCTTTTTTACATCCAAAGTTTCTGTTACCTTTAAGACGAGAAATATTATAGTTAGGTCAAGAACAATATATTAAAGAAATTACTCTATATATATGTGTGCTGTGTTGTTTTAAGGTATTCATCTGCCTTATATAAGAAGTAAGAAGCAAACCTTAACAAATAAACTGAACTAAAATATATAAAATTACAAATAAAATAAGGAAAATACGGATGTCTTCATTAATTTAAAAATGAAAAAACAATGTTTTATTGAGTGTTTATTTCTCCTTAATTATTAACGTAAACATTCATTGCATCCTTATATATATAGATGTGTAAAGTCTAATTAATTTCACTCAAATAAAATTAATCATATAAATCATTTATACTAATAATTATCACTCTAAATATATAATTAAGATAAAACAACATTCTTAATATAACAAAATGAAACATTACCTCTACAAAAACAATCTCCTCAAAGAGCTTATCCTTCTCGGCTTGTCTCCCAACTTCCTGCACAAGAGTGGTCTTCCCAAGACCACCCATCCCATAAACACCCATCATGTAGATATTCTCATCATTTAATGCACCCCATACATCCTTCACAGTGGAGTTTCTCGATTCAAAAGCCAAATAATCTTCATTAGATCTAAGCCATATCTCCTTGTGAATAGTAGGATAGGAAACTTTATCTTCTTGCGGCAGGAATCGATGAATATTCTTATCTAGGAGTTGACTGATATCATCCTGCTTTAATTTGAATGCTTTCTTGCTACGTTTGTAGCGGATGATCCAGTTGGGGCACAATCCCTTGAAACATCGAGGGTTGTTTTCTTTCTCTTCAATCAACTTCTCTGCTTCAGTAATGGTATTGTTCGCTTTACTCTGCCAGTCCTTAACACTCTGTTTGATCTCTTCCACGTTTCTTTCAGCAGCAACCACGTTAACCTGCACTTCTTCACTTGTATTCTTCAGGTTCTTAACTCCATCTTGGAGATTGTCAATGTTCTTCTTGTAGTTGTACAAGTACTTAAACGGACGCCCAATCGGAGCAGCCAAGCACTTGACAACATCCAGAACAAAACTCCCGGCACCCGCGATACTCCCAATAAGTTCTACAGCCATTTTAAACCTTTTTTTTCTCCTTCAATTCTTCAAGTTTGAAAAATATAAAAATAAAATAAAACAGAGATAATAACAGGTGTAAACTCAAATAACCCTCCACAACAGCACTTAAGTTCGTTCCCCCCTTTTTCAACACTTTTTAAAAAAAAAAACAAAACTGAAAACACAAAGACAGCAAAGTCACAGATCTTTAAACGACTTCAAACAGGACAAGTGGGGTGGCAACTTCCCCCTTGCAAACAACCCAAACAAACAAAAACAAAAAAGGTCAAAAACGATAACGCAACACCCCACAGTTCCATCGCCTAACCAGGCAAGACCTTATCACCCTGAGCAAACCAAACAAAGGCCGAGGTCTAGCTGTGAGGACAAACACTGAACATGCTGAAATAATTTATTTTTTTTAAATCAGGACCAAGGGGGACAAAATAGGAAGCAAATAAACCGACCAAGTCACGGGCAACTGCACTCACACTGAAGAACATAACGATCTTGACACTGTTTTTTTTTTTCTTCGTCTTTTCTTAGAGGACCTACGTCCACTGGGGGCCCGGCGTTTCTTTTGCACCTCCTTTTGATGTGCGCTGAGTACCGGCCGTGCTTGTTGTATGGTGTGTAGCTCGGTCAGCGTATCCCGGGGGGGGTCGAGATGAGAGTGGGCCATCCCTTCGGTCTAGTCTCTGGATGGTTGGTTCCCGTTATCCTCGAGCGGCTACCGGGGTGGTACGAGATGGCCAGGAGGCGGAGGGATTTTCAGTGTGCGGAGGTTCTCTGCTGCTTGTGGGGTTGTTGGTGGGTGTTTGAGAGAGGTCAGAGTTGAAGTATTTTGGAGTGTTAAGTGAAAGTGGGGGAGGGAAAGGGATGAAGCGATGCTTTAAAAATCAGAACAAAAAGAAGGATGTGACAAATCAAAAAATAACTAAACAAAGCATAAGCCTAAATATTAAACTCACGCAATATTTTAATGAAATGATCGATTCTGGTATTATTTGTGAGTTTATCGATTCCTTACTTTAATTTTTATTTAAATTTTTTTCCCGGTATCCTACTCGTACTGCGAATAAGGTAGTGGCAAATATATTCACAAATTATTTGAGCATCAATATAAAAATAAAGTTAAAAGACTTAAGAGTATAAAGATGAAGGATCAAGAAAAAAGAATAATGAAAAAAGCACTAGCTTTCCAGATCGCGAGGCTGGTAGAGAGTGGCATTCCTTATGGAAGTAAGCCTTCTGATGTAAGATCCGGACCAAATACAAATCAAATATTATGCCGGGTTTGTTTGGTCAGAGGTTTCTTTCCATTATAAAGTAATATCAATATTCAGTAATCTTTTAAAAATCAAGTACTTACGTGGTTATATAGTAGTAATCTAAATACTTTTATTTTCTTAAGTATTTTAAGATTATGTAATAAATCTTAATTTTGTTATATTTTACTTTTTAACTATTAAAGTTTTGAACAATAGTGCCCTTGTTTTTTTAAAAACAACTTACCAATTTAAAATTTTAAATGGGATTATTTATATTATATGTTAAGTTTTTAGGACTATAAATACCCTTGAACTTAAAAAATTATCCGAGACTATCCTTATATATTAAAGTAAAACACAGTTTGATGCAGTAAAATTAACCTTGAGATTAGTTGCACAACTGTATCGGTAGTGCTGTATATAATCGGTCTGATGGTTGGCCAGATATCATTCATCAATGGAATTGTGGTGAAAAATCAATGAGTGGGTAGGAGAATAAGTAATCGATTATTGAAAGTAATAGATTTGTGAAAGTAAGTTAACTCAATTTTTTTTCAAGTTACACCCTTACTTTGTTGAACATCTCACTTTTAAAGCAATTGCAAGACGTTTTAAGTTTATTGTGAAATACGTCCAAAAACAAGTTAGGTCTAGCATAGAAGCATATGGCCTAACTATAAACTCAGCTAATTCAGGGGTACGACCGTTCTTTATTAATTTCAACATTATACTCAAATAACAGAACAAGAGTAGATCGGAAAATGCGAAATATTTTTTTTTTTAAAATAATCCAGAAGGGAAAAGAAAAAAAAAAAACAAGAAAATAAAGAAATCAGAATATGAAGTTACTGGACACCAACAGCGTTCTTGATGGAGTATAAAGACCACATAAGACAAGAATATGAGTTTACTGACCCCAAACAAACACAACTTTTAAAAACAAAGCATTGCCCTAACTATAAATTCACCGCATACTTCAGTCTGTATTATTTTATTATTTGATTCTTTTTGTTTTTTTTGGGTTCTTTACTCTAGTGGGGAGAGTGTTATTAATGGCACATATATACCAAAGTAGATGAGTCATCAATAAAAGTAGAAAAGTAAAGAAGAAGAAAGGCAAAAAGAAAACAGCACAGCTTCCAGCTTCGGACGTCAAGCGGCCCAAATATTATTAAAAATAAACAAGTTGTGATGTGGTAGAATTGATCCAATTGCACCTTTAATCATCTTGAATTGGCCCAAGATTATTATCCCTGGAATTTGTCGTGAATAATTCAATGAGGGCAGGGCATAATTAGATGTAAATCGAATTAACAGATTAGGTCAGAATTTTAACGCAAAATTTATTCTATTCAATTCAACCATTGCATCTGTTGGAACAATATACTTTAAAAAAATACAAAGACTCCTTTAATATTGTCTAATGTTGAAAATACTTATGACATCGCCTTTTTCCCTTCGTTTGATTTTTCAATTGAGAAAAATAAAAGAACAAATATCATATAGATCTTTTAACCTAAATAAAAACTTCCCACTACCTTTAATTCAGTGATTGATTGATCATTTATTTCATATATCAATTAAATTAATCATGTCGACGCACATAAAAGGGAGGACGGACTCATATCTTACTTAAAGTATTCATTAGGCAATGGAAATCTCAATGAGAGCAATATAAGCTGAGGGACCAAGATTTCTTCAGCTGCGACCATAATTCATGTGATTGTTTGTTAGTGATTTGACCATCTCGAGTTTATTCTATTAGACTTTCCACCTAACGCAATTTTCGTTCGTCTGCTAGACTACCTTCTTCGAGACTGTTATCAATCCTCCCGGGGTTTCAAAGGTACCCCCTCGCATTTTCTGTCTTGATTAAAAACCCGATGTTCTTTCTCGTCCTTTTTTCTTTTTTCCTTTAAATCCCGTCATTCCTCCAGACCTCTTCATCTACAAATGTAGTTAGGGCAATAATGAAGGACTATGATTATGTTAACAGCAGTTACATTGTGGAGATTTTATGACCGAAGAAGATCAAGTAGAATATTATAACAATTTTTGATAATTTCACAAATTTTTTCAACCTTGTTATATCAGAGACCATACGATGTTTGATACTTTCATATTGAGGACGATTAAACTAACATTTCCATATATAAACTCTTAAGAAAAAAATTCCATCAAAGGATAAGGTTTACTTTTTATCACAAACCATAACCATTTTCTTCAATTTTAATCATTTCTACTTCCAGAAAATGAAAATCATTTTATTCACAGGAATATACACAGGGTAATTTAGTAATTGACGTGGATCAGGATCTTAAATTTAAAAAATAAATAAAATAAGCTCGGAATAAGAAATAAATCAGCAATAACAAATATGAAAACTTGAATAGAATTTTTACTGTACAAAAACATAAAGCCTATGGGAAGGAGAAGGTGCAAGTATAAATAAACACTTTACAGTGGAACAGACCCAAAATAAATAAAACAAAAGGCTGTTTTTGACTACATAAACAGAAGGCCTGGAACAATGACCATTTTCATTCCAAACAACCATTAATGATTACACATCATATAAGGAAAACCTTCTAAAGTGTCACAAATCAGCTTGTGGCAGGGGTGTTTCAGTTTCTGATAAAAGTTTCTTCTCTAGAATTTCACGTAGCAAAACAGCCACGGAAAAACGATTTACAACAGTATAGCAGGCATGATTTAGAGGAAGTGATAGAGCAAAAAAAGTGAAAAGGTGATGTTCAAAAAGAAAGAAAAAATGTGCAGCTCAATGTGTCTATAATCCTTGTGGACTACCTTTTCATCTAGCCCGGCAGTTACCTGGTGGGGTGCTCGGATGGTTGACCACTCAAGAAGGATTTGACGAATTAGAAGGGAGGGACCATTGTCTTGGGAGGGTGTGCCACCCCACTTCAGCTCTGCATCAGAAGGCTCGACTACATGCACTGCTCCGTCACTCATGCCAAGAGCGATATATAGGCTCAGATGGTGAGTGCTATGACAAAAGGATAGGTGGTATGTGTGGCTGCAGAATATATATCGTCAATGAGTGATGGATTTTATGGGCTTGACATTTTGATCAATGAAATTAGAAAAAATGCCTTGAAAATCGAACCTATATATAATAACTGAATGTTCAGAACTCGCCAAATAAAAGGTCTACTTACTTGACAGAGAAGGAAGGTATGTAAGCAGAAGCTGCTATTCTACATCTGAGCCTTAAATTATCCGCATCAAAAACTCCCACAGCACCGTCACAAAAAACGCATAACCAGTAAACCATCACATGAATTATTGCACTTGAAATGGGAGCAGGGAGTGTATCTTTTGGAGACCACTACAAGTTCAAAAATCATAGCATAAGGACCATTATAAGAGAGATTGAAAATAACAGTTTAAATAAATTATACGGAACATGTACAAATAGCCAGTATCATGAAATTCACATTGACTGGTTTAACCTCTTAATTAAAACATCTTATTAATTCTCCATTTACTTGGAAATGTAAAAGAAATAGTAAGATTTGCGAACATGTATGCAGCACCATCAATAAATCTTCCAAGAAAGAGCTCAGAGCGAGAAGCCACACATAGGCAAGGCTTCTAACATGCTATCCATAAAAAAGCATTGAAGTAGTAAATTTACTCTAGCAAGTCAAGGTGGAAAGAGAACAATTGATGTACAACTATAATCTTTTGCGAACAACAATATGTGATTTGGGGTCTCATTGACCTTAATTATGTGACGCTACGTTTCCCACTAATAGAAATGAGATCATGGTCAGTAAGTTATTTAGAGAGAGAGAGAGAACTGAAGAAAAA